AATCTTGCACATCTTAATGTGTGGTTAAACCAGCAAGTAGTTTAAAACTAATAAAGACACATACCAAACGAATGAACGAGTAACAGACAAAAACTTTAGAAAAAGTTAAATATTTGAAAAATGAAAAAGAAATGCAAAACTAAATTTAAAAAATTATAACAAAAGAAAACTTACGGAAGAACTCATCTTGATGATGACACCAGGATGACGAGCGTCATATGGCTGCACCACAACACATTTCTCTTCTTTTGTCTTCTTCATGAAGAAAAATTCTTCATTTCCATAACTTGTGCAGTAGCCCAGCAATGCAACAATGTAATTTTTTTTAATATGATCCGCAGGCTGATTTTTTACCTTTTTAAATTCTCTCTCAATGTGGGGCTTGAAATTTGATTCAAGTTTCTTCTTATCCCATATATATTTATAATGTTCTTTCAAATAACTTTCAGGGATGAAATGTTTGGAGCTCAACTTCATCAAACATTCACAACTCATGCCATTCTCATGACCATATCGTACTTTGTCATATACTGATAAACCCAGAAGTTTCTGTAATTTGAAAAACAAAATTAACAAAAGAGAATGAATGATGAAAAATGTTAATAATATCCAATTGTTTAACTATATTCCTTTTATTAATAAGCATGTACATGTGCATGGTGCTAGGAATGTGAATGTTTATATGCACATTTGTACATGTTTATATATGATCATATATATATACATATACAGTTATATGTAGATCTACTCCTCTACTCCTATGGTCAGCCAGTGGCTAAGACATCACACGGAGTATCCAAAAAATGTATGCATAGTCTAAACAACAGTAAATGTAGTGTTTATCATAATCTCATTATTATCAAAATATAAAAATATTTGCTTGTATCAATTTATTATTTTATATTTCCCTTCACTCTGGCAACTTATTAAATAGTTGCTAAATGACCAACGCTAAACTGTTTATATTACTTTTGCAAACTCAACACCTAAAAACAATAATGACAGCCAGACTGAACTTGTAAGTAAAAAATGGATATTCTGAAAAATTACTAGATTTATGAAAATGATGTAAAAATGAAAAGACATTTTAGGAAGAAATCCTTTAAAAACCTCCAACATGAATTGCCACAAATTAAATCAAGCAGCTGTTCAAAATATTACCAGTAAGTGCCCCAGAAGACCAGAACACAAGGAGCCCTACACAAAAAAAAACCTAAAAAACTTGTCATCAAAGTTCAAAAAAGATTTGTGCTGAAATTAGGTTGTCATTAAATTAGAATTTTAAATACTTCCTAAATATCTTTCTAAGCAGATGCATTGGGTGAACCAGATACTAGTTTTTTAAGAGATGCTTGAAATAAAAATATATGCTATGAAACCTACAAAAGTTACTGAATCGAAAAAAGCCACTAAACATGAATGTGCCTCAGTACTAAGAAAATTGTTTCATGATGTGGAATGATATTGCATTGTGTTGCCAGCATGGTCTGGACTAGAATGGATGTCAATGTAAATGAAAATAGACTATGAAAAACAATGAAATGATATGATGTAAAAATATAAATTAAATATTTTTACATCATGTTTATAATTTTTAAAAAAATTAGTATATAATTTTCAGGACCCCTATTAAATAAAATGTGAATGTACTAATATAATGTAGTTAAGAAATTTTTTATAAAAAAATGAAATAAGACTAAGTGTAGTCACTAAACTACCGAATCAAGATCCTCTCCATCATTAGTTGTGTACTTCAATTCACCTCTCAAAAAGTCATGCCTCAACTGATGGAAATAATAATTCAAGACATTCTTCTGCGTTTCTTTGCTGAATAATTCAACACCGTTGGAAGGAACGCATCGAATTCGAAAAATTAAATTATGGCTGAGTTTGTCCAAACACTTAACAATTTTGTTTGGGGGATACCATTGAAGCTTGTCGTCAACAGTTTCTGCCAGAGCGAATAAGGGATAACCCAGCCACCCGATTTGTAGTTTTTTTGCGACTTTGAAGCAGATTTCTTCGGCAGTGTAATCGCGGCCGAAATCATCAAAAACAATCGTAGCTGGTTTTCGCTGGTCCACATTATCTCCATACAAATGTACTATTATGCCGAACTCAGGGGAATCATTAGTAAAGCGTTTGTTGAACATTTTAGCAGAATGGAAGCAACAATAATTCTTTAAAATCTTTTTTAATTTTTTCATTTAATAAAAATTAAAAGCAAGATTAATTTTTTGTTTGCCCCTATCTACCTAAACACGAAAAATTAAAAATACAAATACGTGCGTTACGGCAATCGCGCACCTAATTTAAAATTTGCACGAAAATGAAACGATAAATATTTAGTTTTTATAGTGCTAGACCGACATATTTCATGTATTGAACATATGAAAGAAAAGGTACATGACATGAAACTTAGTCTGTTGGAATTTCTGTCGTATACATTCAGTTACAAGATTTTCTGGAAAAAGAACTGCAATGAGGTCAAACAAACATGCATTACTGTGGGTGCCGGAAAATGCCATTTAATAGCACAGAGGAATTGAAAGGAAGCACTAAGCCTGAACGTTGAACCGAAACGTTAGCCTCAATATATTCCACGTAATAGCTCTGGCCGATTAATTGAACTTTTACTGCAAAAAACGTTTTCTTTCGCTTTCTTTCTTTGCAACTTTGATATTGCCCTATTGTACCTCACCAAATATATGCTCTTCCGGAAGCAAGAGAAGCAATGACTTCACGCATTCATTATAAGTGATGTAAGGGAGATTTCAGCGGTTGATCGTTTACACTTTTACAGATTAAAAACGCAGTGTAATTATGTGATCGCTTTAAAGTCAACGTTCAAATCAAACGTATCATTTCACTTTGTAAATGTAACTCAATGGTTGAAGCTTATTGAATTGAATTTAATTTCAATTGCAATTTTTTTACAAATTCAAATTACTTAAAAATACCTTAGTGATGTTAGGTGAAGCCTAGACTCAAGCCATCAACATTTTGTTACTTTACATTCACAACCCATTAACGTTTTCTATTGTGTTTTTATTCCAGCCATATAAAATCATATAAATATAATTGCAAAACTAACAATTTTATTCCTCACTATCATATATAAAGAATAATGTTTATAATATAACAGAACATCATAATAGCATTTATGTAATATAACAAAAAGTTTTTCATTGGTTATTGAAATTTTGAAAAACCATTTTTATCCAAAAAGTTATTATACATCTACAATGTTAACTGAATCATTAACTAATTTAAAAAATTAATTGAAACTATCAACGACAAAATTTTTATATGGAATAAATATTTCTCACAAAAAGAACATCTTAAAAAATAAGTTAAAATTCTCTAATTAAATCTTGAACAACTCCGAAAACCTCCCAAAATTAATTATTAAAATTTTATTTCATTCTTTAACTCTGATGATTTCGAGAATGAGCATCAAGAAAGCAAAAGTTACTAAAGACTTGAATATCAACGAGCAGATCAGCCTGTTTGATTTCATACGTTCAATTTAGTTAGTTAGAATGTAAAAACATCAAAAAAGATCTTATAATCGAATGTATGTAAATAAAATTAGACATATTTTAATAAAACCTGGTCACCAATCTTGCTGGACTGGCAGTCTTGTAGTAGCCAAGGGTTACGACGGTTTTATTGCGGGCCTCTCTGGTTTTCCATTTCCTCTTTCGTAGGATTGGCTTAGCTTTTTAATAATATTAATAAAATATTCATTCATCGAAGTCTTCATACGATCGTTCTTTTTGTATATTTTTTAAATTTATGTGAAAAAGTTATTAATTACTTTTGAGTTTTTTCATCGGCATACTCTGAAAATTAATGGTGTATAAATTACAAATGTCAAACATAACTTATTAATTGTATAAATTTCTTAGTGCATTAACTGTTATGTTAACAATTGGTCCAAGAAACCCTAGTTAATTAAATAAAAATCTGAATATTGAAATATTTAAAAGAATGTTACCATGGAGGAACCATCAAACGGTTCCGAGTCTGCCAACGATGTCGTTGAAATGGAAGCATTCGTTTCTGACATACCGTCTGCCCGATATTTCAAAGTCTTCAGCTAAAATTTAAAGTCAAATTAGTAAAACATCAAATCTAAAAGTTGCAAAAACGATTTGTGTTTCTATTAATTTCTCATGTCCTTGTAACCAACAAAATATAAACTTTTTAATATTCATATATAATAACTTTGTATAATTCTAACAATCAACAATTTAAAAGTGGGGAATGATCACGTAAACATCATGACGTATGCATGAAAAAATTGTGAATTCAACCTATGCATCACCAAAACAAAAGCATTATTTATTTGTCAGTCTTGCTGAAGTTTGAAACATTTGAAAAACAACGTCACGTTTCACAAAATCAATTTGTATATTTTTGAACAATAGCATTACAAAGTTACAAATGTTTTTTTGAAAATATGTTGGTAAAACAATCAACACAAAATGCACTCGCTGCACTTACGTCACTAATAGAATCAAAACTATTTTTATATTTTGCCACCATCATTTATGTTATTTTATTACTGCTATATATAGGATTACTATATATAAGTTGTTTTTGTAAACTTTAATAAAAATTCATTTTATTTAATGAAATTGCTACCTTTCCACAACAAGTTGGAAGAATCTTTTCCATCCGCACCGTACAACTTACAGTACATACGATATATGTTTATAACATTCGCACACATGCCATAATGTTGTCCCTTCGTTGCAGAAACTATTATTAAAAAGTACTATTTTTATATTTTATCGTTGAAAAATTTATTATTAATATTATTAAAAAAAATATGAAAACTGTGGAAATCACTATTACCATTATGTACTAATAATTTATTTTTAAATTCGTTATTAAAAGGACGTTTGAAAAAACTTTTTAGAACTGAAGAAAAAAAATTATATTTAATGAACAAATAATTTTCTCAATTTTGAATATTTACAAACAGAACTGATATGATTACAATCATCAGTGGTTTCTTAAGTTTTTACGGAATTATCGTCTTGGTAAAAGCGAGTTGTTTTGAGAAATTCAAAGAGGGAAGTATATGTTTCTGTTCGTGCGAAAAACCAGCTGAGAGCCTGATGTTCTCCGAGTTGTCATACGAGAGGGCCTTTGTGAGATGCTCACTGTGGTGCGTGCAAACATCAGGCTGTGTAGCTTACAACTTTTGGAAGAGCTCCTATCAGTGCCAACTTTTCAATCGAACTCTGAAGAAATTTTCTGTGGTACCCGACTGTCAATATTATTTCAAAAAAGGTTCAATAAAACTTTTCAATCAGAATGTTTTGTAAGTTTTGATAGAAATTATTTTTTTTTCCACATCAAACTTGACAGCCTCATACAAGTCAACATTGTGGGTCACCGTCGATGACGCTATTGCAGAATTTTATGTTAACGGGAATAACATCTCCGTCGCATTGAGCTTTCCATATGCCAGTGATTGGAAGGTTGCTGATTCGTACAACGTCTCAAAATATTTGCACGTCATTGCTGTTAAGTCACATAACATCGACGGAGCTGGTGAGTTGTTCTTTCCTTTGTTTGCGAGTTTTGCTTATTGCAAATTTACGCATGAAATGGAAATAATTTGTACATTTACGAGTAGCGGAGAATTAAAATTTTCTGGGCGCGTGAAAGATAAAGCAAGATGACAGATGCATGATAGTGAATATTACTTGAATATTATTGAGAAATAAAAACATTCGTCCGCTTATTTTTTTTTGCTGTTTGGTTGATGACAATTATTTTTTATTGTGTTCAAAAGAAGCTCGTGCCTTAAACAATTCTGCTGTTTATTTTTGGCTATGGAACACAAAAGAATTTCAAAAATGCATTTAAAGCTTAAAAACACAGAAAATCAGGCTCTGACGAACACGGAATCTGTCATGTGCAAAGACATTATAAAATTTATCAAATTCCTAAATAAGAAAAATAATTTGTAATTATAAGTTTACTGATTTATTTTAAATTGAACGAAAATAACTAAATGCACAAGATAAGCAAGATAATAAAATTGTTTCAAAAAGAAGTAGCAAAAATTCCTGAAATAAATATTGCATGAAAGTTGTAAAAAAACCGAATGAAGAAAATTTTTATGCAGGTAAATGTGTATATTCATTTAATGATATGTCATATATATTGTCAAAAACACACCTGTAATCATGTTCTTATACTTACATACATGTATACATATACGCTAATACAAAAATATCCACTATGTTCAGACCTGAAAACATTCAGGTGAACACGGTGTAAAGATGAAATAATAAACACAAACTCAAATGAGCGAAGAAACTTCTATTTGTATTTATTGTAAAAACAATAGAGAAAATCATTAAAGTTAAAACTTCAGGTGTAGGTACATTTGGAAGAAAGAACGTTTCCAAGTTTTTTAAGATCAAGACATCATATAATACGCAATCGTAAAATGATAATCAATTAGTAAATTAACTACTATTAACAGTTATCAACTTTTTAGTAGTTATGAAGTTTTTAATAATTATTTGATTTCAAAACAGTAAACAACAAGTGGTTAACTAAATTTTTTAACAGTTACTAATTAATAACTAGAATAGTTTCAAATTTTGGCAATATTTTCATTTCAACATTTTCATTAACGTTGTATGTGTACATGTTTAATAATGTGTATGTTGTTTTTCACGTTTGACTTATGACAATTTCGTTTAATTTTAATTCTGTTCTTTATTAGTTTAATTTTTGAGATAATTTGACAATTAAATAGTACTCGGCTGAGCTCTTATTACGGTCAATACGTTCAACATTCAGTGCGTTTCAGCTAGATATGCATTAGTTATTTGTTTATATACGTATGGTTTTATGTATATATGATTGTTTGCATATGTACGTTTGCATATATTGGTATCGATATATTCGGATTCACCAAAGCCGATGTGTCGAGAACTTCTAATAAATCGTGATTTGTTAATGAATCGGCAAATATCGATGCATCGGTTTTGGGAATTTTCGATACTGATTTCGGTTTTTCCTTTTCCCATTCCCGACATTGGTGCTAAATTTTTAAGATTGAGATCAACATTGGAAGCGTCTGTTTCTTGCACTAACTGTGTATGACTTGTAGTAAAATTACTTGAAGCAACACATCCAATTTTAAAGAGCGACTCAGAAATAGGAGTCTTTAACCATTACACCACCCTGTCTAACCCAATAAAAAGAATGATGTTTTTGATTTCCTTAATTTAATGGAATAAAGCAGTAATTATAACACCCAGAATTTTCATCATTTTTTGTCATCACAGGTGGTTTGGTGTTTGGATCATCTGATAACTACATTCAAAGTAACACTACCTGGAAATGTACTCCCACTCTGTACGATGGCTGGTACAAAATAAATTATAATGATACTTTCTGGCCCGCTGCAGCTATCGGAACTATGGAGACTGTTTATCGTCTGTCTCCAACAAATTTAGCAACTGGTCACTGGATCGTTAATCAGAATAACTGCGGGGACTGCGCTGTTGATTTTTACTGCAGGAAGAATCTCACAGGTTGGAATGAATTTTATCATACATAAGACTTATAGATTAAAAAATAATTTATTTAATTTATTATTATTTTAATAAAATTTTATTTCAGAATTAGTCGCAGTCAAAAATTGTCAAAACAACTGAATATAACTTCAGGTTGAAATTTGAAGATTAAAACAATTTTTTGTTCTTCAACAAAATACATCTAAATACATCTACAGTTAATTTGTTAGTTTGTTTTCAACTGCTAGTAAATAATTGTTTACAATTATTTTTTTATTTTGACCTGGAGCAAAACTTGCATTGTATTAAGAAGGAAAGAGACAGGTGAAATTATCTGGAGATGTAATTGTGGGTAAGAACAATATTTTAAACAACATTAGTAGTTGAAATGTTTCATGAAAATTTTAATTTTAATGTTTGTCAAACCGTAAAAAAACTTATGCACTAAAAGACAGAAAAGAATTGTATAAACAGAAAATGGAACATTGCAGTTTGTATCGGAAATTAGGAATAATTTTTATGTCAAAATTTATATGCAGTGAACGATTAGGTGGAAGGCAAAAAAACATACACATTAAATAACAACTATAGTAATATATTCAGTATTGGAAAAAAACTAACTTAGATTCTAACAACGTCAATAGAATTCTAGAACGAGTCGTAGTGACAAACCTGCAAAATTATTTAGCAAGCAACAATCTAATACCGATTCACCAATCACTCAAACGAGACTGAATTACCGCATGTTCTGTCAAGTTTTTATGCTGCGATGGAAAATATCAGAAAATATCGTTTTGTTGCTCTTATTTCTCGATATGTCATCTGCACTCAATTGCCTTAATACTATATTAATAAATTCTTAACAATAATAATAAAAATAATAATAATGGGAACAGATCTTTTATTTTTCATCAAATGCGTAAAATCAATAATTAATTAATTAATGGAGAAATAGTCATGATTAAAATAAAATTAAAATATAATCATAATCATCATAGTTAGTCATCATTGATCTTTATTTAAAATAAAATAAGTACAGCGATGATAAGATAGTTATGAAAATTGATTAACGCATTGTTCCGATCACAATATATGGCATATGATGATGCTATCACACTGCTAATTAAACTTTGGCGAAAATATTCGGTCCAATCAATTTTAATTAAAGACAAATTGAAAAAAACTGTAAAAGCCTATGGGCTATAATTCAAAAGAATTTATTAAAATAGTATAATGATTAAAATTGTTCAACAGGTTGTTTTTGAGATTGGTTGTATATTTGTCGAGTTTGTATTGCCTGGACTTGACAAAGTTTGTGTCGTGCAAATAGTTAATTATTGTTGATGATTATTGAGAGAACTTTGTTGTGGCGATTTAAGTATCGTTTGAGTGCTGCCGTTGAGTTACAATTTGAGAACACGTGTTTATTAGTTTGTCTCACGTTGCAGAGGGCATAATGGTCGTTTTTCCCCATCTTTAAAGGTTAGCATTTGTAGGCAGTTGTTGCGTAATATATTTTCTTATAAATTTATAAAAGACTTCAGATAGTTTTACTGTCGATTTGAACCATCGTGCAGTCTCTGAGTTGTGGATATTTTCATTTACTGATTTGACCAGAGCTCCTTGACACTGCAGTATTGACAGGTGGTTCAGGTCCCTATGATGATGTTATAACAATAACAACAACAATAATAACAATAATAACAATAATAATAATAATAATAATAGTGGTTAAAGTGGTAACAATAATAACAATAACAACAATATTAATAATTTTATAACAATTATATTTGAGTTTATTATTATTTATTATTATTATTATTATTGAAGATAGCGCCACCAACAACGAATAAATGATATTCATATTGTTTGCAGATGCGTTGGGCCACATACTGAAAACTTTTCGTTACAATCTAATTGCCAAAGTTGATTTGGTAGGATGTACGCTTTCTGTCTAAACTAGAAATTAATAAATACAAATAATTAGATAACTAAATAAATATAAATGTACTTGCGAAATGTTTATCAAGATAATCTGTTCAATATTCATCTGAGACACTTTTCTTCTGATTCAAAAGAAGTCAGAGATAATAATGTTTTAATTTCTCTAGTTATTATTCATAATATTCTTCTAATATTGATGTTATAATCATTGGAGATAAATAAAATTTTGATGTCACGGCAATTAAAATAAACAGGTCAACATCATAATAAGAAATGTTCTAGCAGGACTCGTAAAGAAAATAAATGGCAGCTTCAAAGGAATAAAACAATGAATACCTATATAAAGCAATCAAATGAGTTAAGGGAATAATTAAATTACAAGATAAATCATTCCATCAAATATTTAATTATTTTATTTACCACGTTGGCACAAACTCGCCTGAACAATGAATGACTGCATTTATCTCGGAGAATAAATCAGAAATCATTTGATTTCTGATTTGAACTGAGCTGAGAGGTTAACAAATGTTCATACCGTGCTTGGTACAATGAACTTCTTGTGTTTTCGCTGCTGTCGGGAGAACTTCAATTGATCAACAACCGATAGAATGATTGATCGATTGAATAAATGAATTAAAAATTCAACGAATAAGTGATCGAATGAACGAAAGGATGGATGAACAAACGATCGTTTGAAAGAACGAACGAATAAAATAATGAAGGATTGGTTAAATTATTAACAAACGGTTTTTCATATTGTCATCATCATTTCATTTTCGCCATATTTGTCGTCATCATCATTTTCATAACAATAGTCGTTATCCTCATTGTTACCATCGTTGCCACCATCATTAGAACTATTGCTTTTAGTCATCATCGAAAATAATCACCCAAAATAACATTACAAGCTGCAGTAGTTGCTTCTCTTATGTCAATGTGTGATTGTTGTTATAATGAAAATTGATAACATTAACAAATCTCTGAAAGTTTCCCAGCAGTGATTTCCGCCATTTAATATTATAACTGCTTCTGTCTTAATTGATTTTTGACGGTAAATTGACGCATCAAAAACATTGCACATTTCGCAGTCGAACCCGGCCATTGCAACATCAGAACCATGTGCCTCAACCATTTACACCACCTGGCCGTACACAAAATACACAGCGTACTAGCACTTTGCAATACATACATAATAAAACGCTGATTGTAAAAGATCAAAATAAATCATTAACAAAGTCACAATCGTTCACACCAACACACATGAATTAAGACGATACAAGTTTATTAATTATGGTACTGGGGTATTAGTAGAGGATTTGTGAATGACGTTGTACAAAACATATACAAAACACACACACACACACACACACATATATATATATATATATATATATATATATATATATATATATATATATTATAAGCGTACAACAAATACACACTCTTTCTTTCTTTCTCTCACCACGATTCCCATAAATGTTTAAGCTACTCATAGTTCAGCTTATAGATGTTTCTGAGTGGCTCTATCTAGATAAACGACAGCACGTCAATGGCGCTTCAAGGGACTGCATGCTGCGTTGCATTGTCCTACTGTTATCATCAGAGCCAATACTTTTATTATTTTTATTGTTGATTTTATTACTACAGCTACTACTAACACTATTACTGCAACAACTATTACTAATAATACTTATTCTATTGTTACTACAAACTTCGCATCAGCCGCGCTGTCATGTACACATTCAGGAATTAATTTTCTGTTAGCAACACGACTAACGGTAAAAAAAACAAAATCAGAAAAATTATCAATCATTAATTCTAGCATTACTGATACTATTTTTTTATTGATTTTATTGTGAAATTGTAATGAAAATAGTGAATGCTACTAATTGAACTACCATGGCCTTAAAACAATCATTTTTTCTTATCAAATTATAAACAACCATAGTATTTAAACATTAAATATAAAACAAAGATACAAAAAACAGTTAATACATCTTTTAATATCGTCCACTTATATTTGATTGAAACAATACCTTGCCTTTATTTAGGCTAAAGAAGACCTCACACCAAACAAACATGGCATTATATTATATTTGAATGTATTTATGTATTAAAGTGTTTGAATGTTTTAAGTGTGTGTGTGTGTGGTGTGTGTGTGTAGTGAGTGTGTGTAGTGAGTGTGTGTAGTGAGTGTGTGTAGTGAGTGTGTGTGTATGGTGTGCGTGTGTTGTGTGTGTGGTGTGTGTGTGTTTGTGTATTTGCACACGTACACATTGTCGGTCGGTTCAAGTCCCAGCTGCTATTCATTCACAAGCCTTCACTCTACTACTACGATAATATGATGAAATTTTTTCAATGCAGTCTTTCTGAACGGAGTTCTTCACCGTAGTAAGTTTTACTTGCCTGCATCTGATGTATTGTTAATCTGCTTATGCGTTTTTTAAACTTATAAATTTTTAAATTGTTTCAATATTTAGAATCCAGCTTTTGTTGAAATATCTTAAAAAGATTTGATGAAACTTAACGATTAGTTAGTATGCTTTTTACAATTTGTTTAAACTATTAAAATTTAGAATTAAACTTAATGAATAATTTAAAAAAAACTCAGCATAATAACAATAAGGCTAAATAATTATTTGCAATGCAACATTTTTAATATTACTAAATAGTTTGGTTATTCATGTTCACAAATTCTTTCGTAAAATATTGATATTCACGTTTTAGATGGGTTTGAAAAATAATGATTTTTAGAGACTTGCATCAACAGGTTACCTTAAGAGTGGCAGACACGGAGATTTTTAAAAGCATAAGCACAAACTCATTACCTGTCGTAAATAGTCGCCACATTGCGCCTATTGGGACTGTAGGAACGTAGAGGAAGTTTAAGTTCCACAAAGTTGATTAGCAACAGTAGATTTGCAAAAAAATGAACGATAAAAATCTTTTATCAATCAAGAACTAAAAATTTTTACAAAGCTTAAATGAACTTTTCAACCATAGTATGGTTGATGATCGAATATTGTTTGGCACATTTTAGATTTTTCGTACGTTCAGAATTTGATAACAATTATAAATGTACTTATACATAAACATTCACTCAAAGAATTTGATAGAAACATTTCCATGTCACGTAGTGGAAAAACTGCACTCATGAATCTGTTCACTAGTAAGACGTTGATTGATGTTTCGTTACACACAGTATCAAACGCAGCATTTTCTTAACATGGTACCTGGTGAGGAAGTTCAAAAAGTTCGATTTACCATCGGTTTTTGCAAGTTGAGTTTTAAACAAATGTTAATTTTTCTTTAAAAATGGTGGCTCTTTTTGGGAATTAAGTTAAAAAATATACAAACACATGTGCAAATTTCGAATCTTATGACAAAAACAGAATAATTGAAAATTGTTTCTAAGATCTTCCAGCAATTTTAAACGTACACTTCAATCAAATTTCACATCTGCAAAGTCGGGTGTGTCGAACTAATAATATCGCAAAGCTTTTTCTCATTAAGCATGAAAATAAAATGAACACAAATACACAAACAAACAACAATGAGCAGATACGGTATCAGTATTTAATAGATATAGCGGCAGATGACACAAGTGATCTACCTTTTAACCCAAACGCCACGAACGTTTCAATTCTGGGTAGAAATAAATAATTCACAGTACGCATTCATACACTATCAAACGTGATGTTCTAAAAATTAAAATTGCAAGATCAGAAGTTACGTTGAAAAGTTTACATCGAGCTAACGACATTCGGGCGTTAATACAACATACATGCAAATGCTAATCTGCTGTTCACTTGCATGAATTACTCAAATGTGGTTGTTTCTTTATTACTTCCTAGTGAAACTTTGAATTGTTTGATTGTAATGTTTGCTCTTCAAACATTGTATACTGAAATTTTATTTCATGAATATACTAATATAGTTGAATTAAAATTAAGCATCAATGAATTAAAAAGAAATAACTTGAATAAAAATTAAACTTCAGGCGTGTTAATTATTTTTCACAAATTTCATTTCACGCTGAGTGTGCAAGTCTTCATTCATTCAGTCTATAAGCTCATAGACAGCTCAATAAAATAAAACAACACACAAATTTGAAGGTCTGTGTATGTGTGTGAGTGTATATGTGGGAGTGTATGTATGTGTATGTGTGTGAGTGTATGTAAGTGTATGTGCATGCGTATATATACACAATTCCACTGATTTTTTCATATAAACAAAACCTTTTTTCTCCTGTCAAGCCATGTTTTTATTTACTTTTTGAAATCGTCTGAATTTTTTCAATAAAAACATTTTGTGACAAAAATTCATTATTCCTGTCAACTTTACATGAAAATTAGGCAATAAAAAATTTTTTGCATGTAACTTTTTTCAGTTTTATGAATCGATTTATTTTTTTATATATTTCAAAAAATTTCCCCGGCTGTGACCATACAATGTTGAAGATATTTTCAGTACATTCATTCACAGTATAATTTCAGATTGGAGAACATACTTCAAATTCTAACAAAGTATTAATTTCACGATAAATTGTACGAAATTAATGAAAAACCAGAAGATATTCATATTCTAGATGTTATTTGAAACCCAAAAAGTGCGGCGTTCTTAAATAGATGGCGCTTATGAACATGTAGGATTACAATACATTCAAATTAAACATACAACATTTGTTCATTCTGAAAGAAGTTACAAAAGAACCCACCGTGAATACATATCAAATTGTGCTACGCGCGCATGTGTGTTCGTTCGTCTGTGATCATCAATTACATTAGCTCATGTGAAGCTGTCAGAAATATTTTGCAAGCAACATCAGGCCTTATTCAGGCGTTGTGCTGGCGTATGTTTGTCAGCTTCTACATACGGAAATTAATAAAAATAAAATGATTCTTGAAAAATAATAAAAATAGTCTTGACAATACAAAATCATATGAATGGTAAAGAAGAATGGTGTTGATGCAAACAATAGAACAACAAACTGGCGCTTAAATTTTTTTACTCATTGCATATGTTTAAGAAAAAGATCGTTAATATGGCTTTTTTCAAATTTTCTTTAATATGGCTTTCTTCACATTTTCAAAAAAATATTTTTTTATTTGAGCATGCAGATTTGTTGCTATTATTCAACTTTACTATTAATTATTTATTGTTGTTATTATTTATTATTATTTTTATTGTTAGTACCAATTGTAGCAGCAGCAGGTGTAATTATTGTAGTAGTAGTAATAGTAGTATTAGTAGTAGTAGTAGCAGTAGTAGTAGAAGTAATAGTAGTAGTAGTAGTAGTATTAGTAGTAATATTAGCATTAATAGTAGTAGTACTACTACTACTAGAAGTAGTAGTAGTAGTAGTACTAATATATACTATATTATTATATATATATATTAGTATATATATATATATATATAAGACATAATATTAATTAATCAAACAAATAACAAATAATGAAAAAATTAGTTTTTGATTAAAATTAAATATTTGTATAAACGAAAACTGTCAGCTGTGTGCTCTAAAACTTATCTGGTTTTACGATTTCTTAACTAAACACTCCTCTCCGCCAATTTATTTTACATTCATCCCAAACATCTCGCTCAGTTCCGTTCATTCATAATTCATAAAACAAACATCGAATGAATTAATGAGCTTGTGGATAGATGAATGAATGAATGAATGAATGAACGAACGAATGAACGATCAAACGAACGAATGAATGAATGAACGAACGAATAAACGAATGAACGAATAAACGAATTAGTTAATAGATGAGGGAATAAACGAATAAATGAATGAAAATTTCACTAGGAATATATATTTGTTATGATTAATTTTCAGTGTTCATATTCAGAGAAAAACTTCCTATAAAGTCATAAATTTAATAATCCATCGAACAAAACATTGGCGATGACGAGTAAGACATGATTATAACTCTAAATAAACAGACACTAAGCCTTTTAAACTTGCTTAATCTCCTATATACCTTCTTGTTATTGCTGTTGTTATTTTAATTTATTAAATCGTATTATTAAAGTTATAATTATTATTATATTTTAATTATTTTATTAATGCATTATATTTGTATTATTATCACTTTTAATATTATTATTTTTTTTGTTATTTTTTTTATTAAAACATACTCACCTTATTTTGTTTTGACATTCATTCATCTTTAGCTCATTCAATGCACATTCAAGCTTGATGCAAATAATATATGAATAGAATATAAATCAAAATGACAGTATGTGTTGTTACTATTGTTGTTATTGTTGTCGTCATTAATGTTGTTGTACTATTAATGTTGTTGTTATTATTGTTATTGTTTTTGTTATTTAATATACAGATGATGTTGTTGTTAACGTTGTTGTGTTGTTGCTCATGTTTCTATTGTTTGAATGTTCATGTTGTTGAAGTTGTTGTTGTTGATGTTGTTGTAAATGTTGTAATTCATGTTGTTGATGTTGTTGTTGTTGCTGTTGATGTTTTTGTAAATGTTGTAATCTATGTTGTAGTTGTTGATGTTGTTGTAAATGTTGAAATTCATGTTGCTGTTGTTGTAAATGTTGTAATTCATGTTGTAGTTGTCGATGTTGTTGTAAATGTTGTAATTCATGTTGTTGTTGTTGTTGATGTTGTTGTTGTTGACGTTGTTGTAAATGTTGTAATTCATGTTGTTTTTGTTGTTATTCATTATTTAAATAACGAATTCACGTTCTGTCATGATCATACTTAATTATTGATTAATTTTTCAACCGTACATCACCTTAACTTTCATATTTTTTGAATTGAGTTAATGCGGTAATGTTTGACAACACTAGTTTTTGTTTTCTGAAAGAGTGCCTGTGTGACGAGTTTGTATGATTCCTAGTGACGAAATATAGAGAGGGGACTGAATTTTAAGGATAATAACTGAAAATCTATTTTAAAATTGAGAAGTAATGATGTGGATTTGTGTCTTATCGTACACACACACACACACACACACACACACACACAACACACACACAACACACACACATTACACACTCACACACATGCACAAACTCTAAAATAAAAATTTTAAATTTATTTCAAATATGACCAAATTTTTCTACCATTTTACAAAACTTATGTGTCGTTAAGAACTTAATTAAAAAATATTCGATTGATATAAAAATTATTTTTTAATAAATAAATTATTTAAATATTTTTTTATATTATTACTAACTTCCTACCTAAAACTTCCATATAATACTTTGTACTAATTACCACTACCTTGAAACATGTTCTAATAAAATGATTTATTGGCTCAAATGGTAATCTACTCTTTTTGTAAATGCACGATTACATATAACTTAACACATGCAAACCCATTTTACAATCTAACATAATTTCTTCGTTCAGAGAACCCTACCTAGCCCTTCATACATGGAAGAAGAACGAAAATTTAACTCCAACTCGGATCCAGACAGTGGTGTTGGAAGCGAGGTGGACTCCAATCAGGCCAGTCCAGTTCCGCGCTGCCAGGTTGAAGACGGCTCCCGCATCAAGCAGGCATTCCGTAGAACAGCAGCTAACAAAAAAATTCATAAAAAGTTTTCCACGTTGGGAGTTCTGAATGAACCTGACGATGAATTCAATAGTTACTACCCCAACGATGATGTCTTCATCACAAGTGACGATTCAATCAACTCGATGAAAACAGATCAATTTGGCGCACAATTCACTGGCATGGCCAACACTGCAAACCCCGTTGAAAGTTTTGTCGCTAACTCATACGTTGTTTCAAATAGTAGGCGGGGAGTTATGAATAAGAATGGCTACATAAACAAAAACATCACAACAGATAACGTCAAAAGTTCATTCAGTGTCGTTAATGACTACACGGTGGCTGACAGTGTCAGCACTTCAAATTATGAAAGCGATGTAAGCCAGCAACTTTTTGACAAATCTCGCATCATCAGCTGCAATCAAATACAACATGACAACATCAATAGAAACATCAAACACGTCAACAACGGCAATATTTATAATTATAACGATTATAATAATAACAAGTTCAACTGCAAGAAGATCACAAACGTAAGCACACTCTTCATAAACGGAAATAAAGCTAACATTAATCACACAAAAGCGAATAACGTTGACGAGTTTTATTTTATTAATAGCAGCGAAAGTGGTAACAACAAAACTCCAACCAGCAAGTTAGTTAGCATGGAAAACAATGATAGCAGCAACCAACACACCAACACCTTCAACATAAATTCTCAATTCACATTTAACAAACAACATGACATTCATCCGCATCGACAGATCTCTTTCCCTACCTCTCCATCATCAACCATCACTCACAAGCCATTTAAAATTCACTCAGTGGCCTGTACACCCATTCTACCAAAATACTTTCGCAGCATTTCATGTCCGCTCGGACAGCAGACTCCTCCCTCGAACCGAAATCCTCTCCCAACGTATGACGAGGTGGTTGAATTTAAAAAATCTTCAACAAACATCACTGAGGATACGAAACAAGATATCAACGGGCATGTCATTGAAAGGGTTCCTCTACATAATGTGCAGCACCGTAAAATTTTTAATGCATCAAGCAACTCGAAAGAGAATGGGTCTTTACAGAAGAAATTAGAACAGACAACCATCAACACATTACATTCACATTCACAAATTCCATATTTCTGCTTGTTGACCCCAGAAAAAACTCAAACTCTACCTAAGTTGGAGACTCCCAAGAGTTACTTGCCTAAAAAATATGGAAAAGTATTACTCGATCAGAAAATGACTAATCTGAATATTAGTAAGACCACCACTAAATTAAATAACATCATCACGGATAAGAAAAATAACAATGATGATGACAACATCAATTTTAACAACGACAATTCTAATTTGAATAACAAAGTTACCAGCACTGAAAATCTTCATTTTAATAAATCTAGCCACGTTATTAAATCAACGAATGAAATCAGCAGTTTGAATAAAATTATGCTGAATTCTATTAAAACTGATAAAACTGGCAGCAATCGCAAAGTCGAACGAACAGAAAAATTTCGATCGACAAGCGAAAGCAATCAAAACCAGACTCGTGTTTCTAATTTTGAAAATTTTGACAACTTACACCATAACTCAAAAATTAAAACAAAAACGTCGCCATCCTCTGCATCATCCACACCAAACAAAATGCACAACGAGAGTGACGTTGATAGCTGCAGCAGCAGTAGTAACACAACGCCCAGGAAGTTTTTCAGGTTTTTATCGCTTACTTTTAAATCTAAAAAGACTCCAAAGATGGCTCCAAAGGCATTCGAAATGTCGGAAATTGTTAAACCGCCGATTGTTGATAAGTTGAAGCCGAACGAAATGTCTCTAAGCAACAACCCCATTAATTATCATTCCTTGGATAAAAATACCGACAAGAAAATAAATGCTTATTCATTAGACAGGACTTCTGCGAAGGTTTGTTTATTTCTATACAAATTTATTTTCAATTCTTTGTCTTGAAAAAACTGGTTGCATGTTGTAAACATACCTTTCTATAGAATGAGTAATAAGTTTATAACCTGATCAGGTTTCAATTATCCCGGGCTACTATAAAATTTAAAACTAGAATAAACTAACAAAACTTAGTGTTAAAGTTATAAATTCTTTTTTATAAACATATTTACGTTACAACTTATGTTTTAATATAAATATAATATCAATAAATATTCACCAAACAGGTGCGACTGAATTTTGACAACGGAGGCAGTTCAAACACCTCTACCTCCACAAAGAGCAGTTTGAAAAATAAAAAATTCCTGAGGTCGTTGTCGACAACACCTGAAACAAAGATTGTTCATTTTGAAAATGATGATTCATCCGCGGTACATTCTCAAAAATTTAGAACTTTTGAACTTAAAAAAGAATTAGAAAAACGCGTGTTTGAATTGTATCAAAATGACAGTTTAAACGACACGGCGAAGGAAAACTCAGTTGACAACATACCAGACAATAATCCCAATTCAAAATCTCAGTACGAAACTAAAAAATTCCGCTTGTTGCATTCATCTAGAAAAATGTTGATACATTGCAAAGAGTTGTCTTTGCTGGTTGTAGATAGTAACATAAATGTGGAAACAACGAAGAGGTTATGTTTGAAGAGATACCAAGACTTTTTAGCTTCATTCATCAATTTTATTGATTCGTTTGTTTCGTTGAAATCATCAGCCAATTCACTCGACACAAAAAGGGAACTATCAAGTTTAGGACAGGAGCTGTTGTTGAGCGGTCTGTCCATTAGCGATAAAAGCGTCATTTGGTTTCAAAATGGAAGCCTGAGCAAAGACCATCTGAATGAGTACAAGAATTGCATCAATAAATTTTCACATCTCTGCGCTCGACTTTCGTGCGTATTGAAGGAATCGATTGAATAGAGCCATTTGTTTGCAGTCACCACATCTAATTATCGGGCAGGAATGTTTATTGAACAGTTTCAAAAACTTTTTACATGAACATTGTCATAAATATATACAGTACGTACATACTTCTAATGTCTGATCTTAAAATTGAAAATCGTGGAATAAATAGGGTGTATTGATAGTTGTTCGTTGCAAACAGTTTCATATGAAGCTGATTGGACGTAATAAAAGGCAATTAACTGATGAATTATTATTATCATTGTTGCTCTTAATGTTATTATATTAGTATTCATTTTATTTATCTTATTTTTGAGCATTATATTGTGTTCCTAAATTTATAAACTCAATTAAGACATCTTCTAAGTTGAATTTGAAAATATATTTAATGAATTATTCGACAAAACGTAAATAACAACTTATTAAAACCTGTTGATACTTCAACATGATGAAGGTTTGACGTAACGTAAAATATGGTCACGCAAGAGAGAATTTTATTTTTTTATATCTCCCATGGTCACGTCACCTCAGACAGAAAAAAAAATGTTTGAAAATGTTTGATAGTGAATTATTTACGAATTGTTTGTTGTCTGCACAAAAGTTTTATTAAAAATTGATACATTAAAAATTTTTTTCCTTGATTAAAAATTTTTTTCCTTGTTTAAAAATTTTTAAGAAATTTTTTTATAAAACTTAAAATGAGCGAAGAAAAATGTACAGAGGAACAAAATAATATTATAACATGATGAAAAACCGTTATTTAAACGTAATATTATAATATAAAGCAATTAAATGAATGTAGCAAATTACTACAGATAATCCGACGGGGGCAGTTAAAGTTTTTTGGTCTCATCATGCGGAAGAAAAAAATGGAAAATCTAACAACTACTGGAAAGATTGCATGGAAGAGAGATTGAGGTCAACAACGAATAACTTTCGAGTCACTTGTTGAATATCATCACATTTCAACTACTACAAAGTGTTAAAGATCGGGTTTTGTGGAGGTCAATGGTCGCCAATGTCCTGATTGGATAAGGCACGGGAATGAATAAAGAAGTCAAATTTCAAATGCCCAGCAAAATCATTGTAAAAATAAAACCAGTTTATTTAGGTGTAAAAATTTATCTTACCTACACGTAAAACGACACGAGTTTCTCAAATGTTTCTGTAACACTGTCATTTTGTTTGAACAATTAAATAAATTTAATGTTTGAAAGTGAAGGAAGAATGTTTTAATCAAATACGTTTCCGAGACAACGGAGGACCATTTTATCTTTCTTTTGTGCACTTCTAAGTGGATTAAATCGACCCCTCTCTCTTTTTCATGTTTTATGTCTTTGGTTAGTGAAAATTTTAAAAACTTTTTACTTTCTTATTTTCGCTCATTTTCTTTCATAAATTGTTTGAAACGTTCCGCAAAAGATTCTAACTTTTTCACGTACACAATAAAAACATTATTATAATTATTAATATCATTTTTATTATTATTGTTGTTGTTATTATCATTATTTTATTACTATTACCATGATCTTCAACATAATAATATTAATTTTTTAGTTTTTTTTCTTTCATTACCCTTTTTTTTTCTCAGCCATTCAGAAAGGAACTTTTCCACTTCCGCCGGCCGTATATTAGGCTGTCACCTGGCGAGCAATCAGAGCATTGTGATGCACAATGCGGCGGATCTCGCGTGAAATTGAATGACTTCTGTGCTACGCTATGTGTTATATCTTGTGTTGCTGTTGCTGCTACTGTTGTTGTTATTGTTTCTACCGTTAAAGTTGACGTTGTTGTCGTCGTTGTTGCTGTATTAGTAGTAGTAGTAGTTGTTGTTGTTACAGCAGTGGTAGTAGTCGTAGTAGTAGTAGTAGTAGTAATAATAGTAGTTGTGGTTGTTGCTGCTGTTGTTGTTTTTGTTGTTTTTAACATGTTCCGCTATATATATCTTGTTCTTTAATGTTACATAAATTCTTAACCTTTATTTTTATTTTTCTAATGCTTGTTGTATAATGTAATTACAGTAACACACAGCACAATTCGGCATTAAGTCTTGTTTTTTAGTCATATTATATCTTCAGATAATTTTATTTCATTAAAATAGCTTTATGTTGTAAAAAATAATTGAGAAATTGTATGTTTACTCGTGAAATATTAATTGAATCTACAGTGGATCGATACCTTTTAAAATTTGATTGATACTGCATTAGGATGGGCTTAGCGAGAAGAATGATTAAATGAGGATGTCTGAGCTGAAAGCCGCTGAATAATTCATTCCTTCATTTTCATTCTTCCACTTATCTACTCATACTCATGGCTATAATCATTTATCTTCGTTGCTGTCAGGCCATTACCCTTGTCGTCGTCGTCATCAGCATTGTCATTAGCATCATCATACAACAAACATCATCATGCGAAAATCATCATACAACAAACATCATCATACAACAGACATCATCATCAACATCATCATCTTACAACGTCATCATCGTCAACAAACTCCTTGTGACTTTGTGACTCAACAATGTTAGTTTCCTGATTTTATTTTTATTATGATACAAAATAATTAAAAATCGGCTAAATATTTTAATGAGTCCAAGTGTATCTAACTTCGTTCGTGTGTTAATTAAGGCAAATAAATTGAATTATAGTTTTTTTATTTGTTAAAAGTTGTATGGACTGCACAATAAGTGTACAATTTGATGCAATCTTCTGTCATACGAACTTTCAAGTTCTACATCCAAATACGTGTTTGGTGTCCTACTTTTTTATGTGCGCGTATTTTAGCGTGGAACCATTCATTTGTTCAGTTCTTTATCGGTCGGTCATCTTTAAGGACATTCTTCTACGTATGTGTATATGTATGTGTATACGTATGTGTATGTGTATGGGTATATGGGCCATATGCGTTGATGAGCATGTTTCGTGTAAGTTTTTCTAGTGCGTGTTTGTATGCATAGCGTATACAAAATATTTTCAAAGCGTTTAGCATTCCTCTGATGATGTCGCAAGAGTTTGTTTGTTTGTCAACTTGCTTATTTCTATGGTTTGTATTACAGACATGTTTGTTTTGGGCCCACAAACATCTTTTATATTAATGAATATGCCGACATTCAATTACGTTCACGCTGAAGAAATGAATGAGGAGGCATTGATGGATGTTGACGATGATGTTCATGTGTTTGTTTTGTTATCACTTGCGCTTGCTTGCAGTTTAGTTATTGAATGTGTTCATTTCATCATATGTTCGTAATCATATGTTCGTATCATATGTTCATTTCATCATATGTTCCTATCATATGTTGCGTTTATCTCGTTTACTGCTGCTTTTATTTATTTATGATACTTTGCTAAGGTACATTAATCATATTTAAAAACAAATTATCCGTCCCTAACATTTGTGTATAAAAAAAATTAACTGAACTAAAGAACAATTAATGATAAACTAAAAAAATCAGCATATACATACATATGCATGAAGAGTTTGAAGATGCACTGCGTGTGAACTCGGGCAGAAGTGATGCAGTTAAGTGCGAACTGTGGAATCAAACATGCTTCATGAAAGCATTTCCACGTTCGGCAAGTATTATTGTTGGTACATGGTACAATGAACAAATTTTTTATTTAAAATCAACTAAATAAAAAAATTGAAGGACATCGAAACAAAACTCAGCTGATTCTCTGCAACTAATATAAGGCAGACAATAATAAAAATACTGATAAAAAATAGAAAAACTTAATATGAAGTTAATAGTAACGTGAATGATGTTGATTTATTTAATTTCTACAACGTCAGCAATACAGTCATTAATAAAAAAAAAAAAAAACTAAAAATCCATCATGTCTGAGTTAGCTGATTGAAGCGTTATCACTGTGAAAATTGTTGTTAAAGTTGTGTGGTTGTATTTATCCTGTTGCTTTGCTCCTATTGTTATTTTTCTTGTTTTTTTTTGTTATTTATGAGGTAGCTGGTTTAAATTTTTGGCAAATTTTCATATTAAGACGAACGATCGGTTTCGCGTGCTCTATTCCATTCTTGCGTGTCCTGTTAGCGAAGAAAATTAGAGGGAAAAATTGCAAATCACACGCTGAAGTGTGAGTGTTGGAAATTGTGTTTCAATAACATTCAAAAACATTTTAACATTTAAACCACCAAAAAATTATTATTTTGTTAGTTATGATGATGACGACAATAATGATAATTATGAGGATGATTATGATGACGATTATGATGATGATTGTGATAATGATAAATACGATAGTGATTACGATGATGACCGTGAAGTAGGAGGGTGATGGCGATGAATACGCTGTTTCTACAGAATTGCAAATTTTTTTTTTCATTTTTAAATTTTTGAAATTAAATCAATTATAAACATTTTCAAAAAATGTTATCAGCCTTACTGGTTCACACATACATTTGAACAGGAGAATACAAAAATAGAGAAGTAGAGACAGCAGGCTGTTCAGTTGGATAGTAATTTAAAAGTATCCCAAGACGCAAGATGTAATTGAGTAGTGAAGAGAATGAATGGACAGAAAGCATCAGGTGAAATAGCGTGTGAATACTTTATAAGCATGAGCACACTTTTGTCTTTCTCGATGTTCATGTTGGCGTAGTTGGTTTGCCTTTTTTTATGTTTATGTTATAAGTTTTTGTGTTGTTTTTGTGTTGTTGTTGGTGTTGTTTGCTGTGATTTTACTTTGAATTAGTTTTGTTGTTGTTATTTTTCTTTTGTGGCACTACTAAGTGCGTGTTGGATTAGTTTTTTGCGGTTGATAATTCTGCAGCTAAAAGAAATTTATTGCTATTATTAGCGGTTATTTTCTGACTTACAATACCTGTAGATATTTGCTATCAATGCTGTTGTAACTTTTTGTAAGTTTTTTTTGTTCCAACTTAGTTTTTTATATGATTGTTATTAATTGATGGGCAATTTTCATAAGTTTGTGGTTATTTTTTACATTTTTAGTGCACTGTGTGACATTCTTTCATCAAAGACTTTTTTAACAATTCAACCATGCAACAAAAGCCAAACTAAGGAATCTCACATGTATTTTGTAATAACTTTGTTACTTTTAAATAACAATATTGCTTCTAAGCCGTTGATCATATTTTAAAATTTGATTATTTTTTCATAGCTTTAAAACTGCTGCTCGTTACTGCTTATGGAAATGTTTTAGTGGAAGGAAGTGGATGCATCTCATGCGGATGAAGCTGATGATGAAGATGAGGATGATGATGAGGAGGAAGATAATTACGGTAATCATGATAGTGGTTTTGGGAAGAGAATAATAAGAACTATGATGGCAAGAATTGTGAGGCAGATATTAATGATGATGATGAAAATTGTTAGGATGATTATGACGATGTGGATGAAGATGGGGATGAAGATGATGAAGAAGTGGAATATGATGGAGATGATAAAGAAAAAGATAATGACAAAGTGTTGGACAAAAATAGTGATGATGATGATGATGCAAAAATAGTAGTTTGGTAATGTATATGATAATGACAAACATGACGGGCATGGAATAGAGATTGATGAAAAGGAAGTGGCAATTAAGGAGGTAGTGAGGCAACATGGAAATTCCTTTCAACCATCAACTCGTAGACTATAAATTATCTTCTCTCAACAAATTTTTTCCTTTGGAATTCATTAGCCAATTATCTCTCAGAATTTTTGAACGTAACACACAATTTTTTTAAAAACAAAAAATTCAAACACTTTTTTTGTATTATATTTGTAACCGAGAGCATACAAAATTTATTTTGAGAAAGTTAAAAAACATCTTATTCAAGAAAAAAAATAAATACATCTATTAAAAGTTGAATATATATCAATCATAAAAAAAAATTTCAACTCTTAAAAATATAATGAACGGTGAGTGGAGCAAATATTAATAAAACATTTTTTCCACATTGTCAACGTATGAAAATTAAAAAGCGAAACTCGTGCGGCCCTCAAGTAAAAGCATATTTGACTCATCTCTTTTTATCTCTTTTTTCTTTCTCACCCACCTACCAACACCATCATCACCCCCAACGTCACCATCATCGTCGTCATCATCATCTCGTCTATTAGTCACCATTTTATTTTTTTTACTTTTGGTGGAAAAAAATTTTGAAATACTTCTTAATTTCCCTCTGAAGGTTTTTTTGCTTCGGTTTACATTTCTTTGCTGCAATGAGTTTGTTGTTCTAAAACCAGATTTATTATGTTGAGAATGAAAAAAATGATAGTGAGAACCATGATAAGGACGATGAGAATGATAATGAAGACGACGATGAGGATGATGATGAGGGTGAGGATGGTGACAAAGGAAATCTGCAGAATCTGCAGAAACGGTATTCAAATAGTAACACGGTTCAAAGTTTCTTCCTTGGTGGTTGGGACATAAATTCTTATGGTCGGCGCGATTGGAAAAACTAATTGATGGATGTTCATCTCGGCGTCGTAATGTTTGTAATTTATTAAAAAACTTCGGCAACATGTAGCCGATGATTCCGAGATTGTTGTTTGGGAAGTTTGCGTTTGATTTGTTGTTGACTTTAATTTTATTTTCGTGTTTGTTGTTGCTCGGCACAGAGTTGAAATTGTTCGGGTTATCAATATATTTGTTTGATTTGTGAATAACGTCAGTGTTCTTTGAAGAGAAATTTTTTTCTTTGGTGTTTGAAACAAAATTTTGTTTGTGAAAGTTGTTGAAGCAGCTGTTGTTGTCGTAGCAGTTTTCATTGTAGTTTTTGCTGTCGTTGAGGCGTCGTTCGTTGCGTTTGTTGCAGTGGGTGGAATTTATATTAGGAAAGTTGCAATTACAAGTTGCCGTTGAATCAAATTGATGGTGTCCGAACCCATCCATCAGCGCTTCATTGTTACTATCTGCAAGACTTTCGTTGTTCTCACCACCGTCATCGTCGTCATCATCACTATTGTAAATCTGCTCATCGCCACTATTATCATCACTGTTTCTATTATTATCTTCATCATGAAGAACTTCGCCATCATCACGCTGCTCCAGCTCGCTCTGGTAACTTGAGGCGTTTTCAACCTTTTCAGTGAGGCTTGTGGTGGTGACTTCATAATCGCTGTCATCGGAGCCCGTCAACTTCATCATTTCACAAAATTCTGCCTCTTCATCATCACTAACGTCATCATCATCTTCGTCGTCCTCGTCATCATCATCTTTGTTAACATCGTCATAGCAGTAGACGTCACCATCGACGTTTTTAAAATAATCTTTCTCTTTATTTATTTTTCTTCGTCTCCTTTTAAAGCGTTTTGAATTTTCTGAACTTTTTTTGCACCAGCAAACGAGAACAGCTGCACTGGCCAACGTCGTAACGAAAACAAATATTGTTGTTATAATGATGATGACTGTCACCGAGTAGGCGTCGTATGCGTTGCTGCTGCTGCTGCCGTAACCTATCAAGTACTCCACGTTTCTGCTCTTATCGTTGTTGTTGTTGTTGTTGTTTAAAAATTTTGTTTTGAGTCGATTTTGAATTTTTTGTTGTTGTTGGCCTTCGGAGATGTTATTATTCATTGAGTTGAAACCTTGGTGTTGACGTACGTGCGATGATTGATACTGCGACTGTTTGAAATTGGTTTTGCTGCGGTTTGAAAAATTGTAGTAGTTGTTCTTGTTGTCGCGAGTGATATCAGTGAAGTTATTATTATTTTCACTGAAAAGCGAGTCGTTGTGTATTGTACCTACCCAACTGGTTCGTTGATCATTTGATCGAAAATTAGTAATGCTGTTGTTGTCTTGGCCACCTGCGTTGGTTTTAATTTTAATGTTGTCGCTGATTAAGATGTTATACCGATTTTTGTTATGTCTATTAATGTCACTAAGGGTTTTGTTAAAGCTTTGATTATTGTTAGAGTTGTTGTTGTTATTTTTCATGAAAGGCCTTCTACTGTTTATAACCCGGTGTCCGATCACTTGACCAGATGTGTTGGGGTGAATGAGTAGCATGTTTCCACTTGTTTGGTGAATGTTTTGAAAAATTATCTTAAGCGATGGCTTACGGTTTCGTGGTTAATGTTTGAAACATTTCCGTTATATTTAATTACTTTTATTAATTATTATAATTATTGTTATTATTGTTATTATTATTATTATTATTATTATTATTATTATTATTATTACTATTATTATTACTTTATGCGATTGTTGTTGGTTATTTAACAAAATGGATTATTGTTGAAGCAGTTGATGGGCTGTTGCTGAGTTTGTTGCTGTCGATGAAGAAAGACTGTGGCTGTAAATGTTGGTAGAAATGAGAGAAATGGGATTTTACATTTTTTTATACGCCTTATTAAAATGAACTTCAATTAATTTTATGTTTAATTTGCATTTTTCAAAGTTTTGCTCATAAAGGCTGACCTGAAGCAGTTCATTTCACGTTTGATAATAAAACAGAAAGTCCTTTAAAAAGTAAAATATGAATTTATTTTAAATATTCTAAACTTATATTTCAAACAAATCAATCTATTCAGTTATTATAGAAATGAGTTAATAAGTACTTTACTTAAATGATGTATTATAATTTTTAACGATTCACTTTTATAAATTTTAGTTGAAAAATTCTTTCTTAGATAAAATTAAAAAATTATTGACATTATCTCTGCAATTTATCCAATATCTGATATTTTTCATGACCATTTTCAAAACAACGGATGTCATTTAACACATTTATATCAAGCGGAAATGTTAAACTTTCAAGAAAAAACATCAAAGACGAGGCTAAAACTGCGAACGAGGTGGTAATAAAAAGAGTACATGGAAGCAGTCCAATTTATTTTATTCCAAGCATTATTGCCGCAGAACTTCATAAAAATGGACGCAGAACGACATTTTATAATTGCTAACGTGATGTATACGCAACGCATACTTACCTACACACACCAACATATATGTGTGCGTCTTTAAGCATGTTATCATAAGAACTGCGGTATGTTCACGTTCATATGCCGACCTGCCTTATGCGCGTGATACAGTGTGATATTTAAATACGGTTATAATGTACATATCTCTCTATTTTTATGTAAATATATAAAAATATTTATAATTATTTATATTTAGATATATATATATATATATATATATATATATATATATATATGTTAGTATATTATATATATATATATATGTTACGTAATCTAACAATCGAACAAGATCGCGAGGAGCGACTGCTCCATCTCTCTCAAGAATTAGAAGTTAAAAAGAAGGTAGTTCAAGACTTGTCAAATCAACTAACTGAATTGTTGAATCAATGGGATCACTGCGATGTTGATTGCATTGTCAAGAATGAACTAAACTTATGCCGGAAAGAATGCAATCATCAAAACTAAAACTTCATAAAAAACTGACCAACCTGATAACTAAAGGAAATAACAATATTATGAAAGATAGATTCATCAATCTTAGCCACCACATCCTTACAGACAAGCAAAAAGCGTTTTTAAACCTGGGATTGAATTGCCATTATCTGAAAAAACCTAACAAAATTGAAAAAAGATAGAAAAGCTAATGATGTCTATAAGCGACGCTGAACGTCAAAGTAAATTAAGCGTCAACCCCTCTGTTGCCATTGAGCTTCAAGCTGAAGCCAAGAAACAACGAGGTAGTTTTCAAAGTAAGCTACTCAATGAGGAGATGAAGGATGAGGCGAAGCAACTTAGGGAGAATAAAGATATCGTAATAAGACGCGCAGATAAATCTGCACAATATGTCATTATCGACCGAGCCGATTACCATGAAAAACTCAATGATGTTCTCAATGATACAAATAAGTTCCAAGTAATCAAAAAAGATCCCACTCCTCAACTAAAAACTAAATTAAACACAATAATTAAGAAGATAAGAAAGCACATCACCGATGACAAACTTCCATCACTTATAGGCGAATACTCTCCTGGCTACTTACATGGAAATATAAAAACGCACAAAAAATAATCATCCCATCCGACCAATTTAGCCAAATTACAACTGTCACCTACCCTGTTGCAAAAACCTGACACCTAATTCGCATCAAAGTTCAATTTTACAACACCAAAGTTAATTTTTACAACGTCAAAGTTCATCTTGACAAAGTCAATATTTCCCTATATATACAGCAAGGAGCACTGATGATGATTTATTTTGAATTTTAATAAACTAAACGTTCACCAAAAAACTTTAGTGAGAAAAATCGAAAAAAACGAACTACAAACATATTAACGCCAAACATTCGGTAGAATTTATAGAATATTGTAAAAATATATTATATAAGTATATATAATTATATTATATATATATACGTATGTATCTATATATATATATATGATATGTTTAAATTCACGTACACTGGATACATCAATAAATTTCTTAACTATGCACAAGCTTCTAGAAGTGTACCGCTAAAATTTTAAAATAATTTTAGCACTCGCATAGTTGAATTATAAAATTTTACCTAATAAAAAATTCATAAATTTTATCTAAACAAATATTTGAGAACATATTAGGTACAATATTCATAAATTGTTGCAAGTTTTTGGTGGATATCAGACAAATTATTCCAGCTGATTAAACAGGAGTGTTAGGTTTGTAGGTTTGAAAAACTAGCACCGGGTATTGAAGCCACACAAAATTATTACTCCAAACTGGATTGTAACAACATCATTCAATCTAAGAGATGAATGCGTATTTCTTATTTTTACAGTTTTTAAAAACGAGAATTTATTAACAGTGTGTAGAAAACCATTGAAAAGTATCTTAATTAAATTAGAAAGGCAGTATTTACTGCACGACTGTCAGCGTATCGAAATAATTCCACTATAATCTAATTTTAAAAAATTCAGTTTTTTGAAAATTAAATTAATCTTCTGACAAGTAGGGCTCTTCGGAAAATCGGCGATCGATTGGTCGTCGGATCGAACTTTATAACAACTTTTGATGTTTTCAATTTTCAAAAGCTGTGTTTACTTTTAAATATAGTTTTTCTGAAAATTTGAATCCGTTTTAGAATGAAAAAATTAACATAACCAAAAATAAACAAATATAAGATAAAACAAACAAACAAATAAACAAATAATCAAACAAATGAATATACAAGTAGATAAATGTCATAATTGGAATGGAAGAAATAGCATCTGAGCCGCCATAAAATAAACGAGCGTTTCTGTTCTCTTACGATAATATGCACAGGCACACGTAAATAATTTGGGCTAGATCGAAATAATTTAATTTTGAAAAAAAAAATTCTTATTAATATGTACGATGAAATTATTAAAAGAGTATTTTATAATTAGATTGAAGAGTAACATAAAGTTGAATACTTTTAATAATTTATTTTATTTTATATCAGTTGTGATTTATTATTTTCTTGATTTATGGAAATAAGCAAGAAAATAAACAATCTGAAAAAAATGAAACCTACAAATTTCAAAATGGGAAATGTTGATAAAATATTGTAAGCGATTTATCAAGATTTAAGATGGATGCAGTTGTATAAATTACAATATTTTTACCTGTTCTTATTATTATTTTGGGAATAATTTCATACCATTTTTTCTTTTTAGGTGCATTTAAATTTTTTTTTTTCTGGCAATTGTTTCTTTTTCTGACACTTTTCCTTCCGGCTTGATATTCTCCTCAACATTCAATCGTTTTCTGTTTGTTTAGAGCAAATATGACGCTCAATTCAACTTTGCGTGTACATCATCTAGCAATACCACTGTGACGTATGTTCTGACGTCATTGATGGTAAACAATGAGCAGTCGGATTATCCGGCCTCTAAATTATCTCTTAATTTATAATTTTTATTTTCATTTATAGTCCGGAAAATCAAATTTTAAATGAATGTATCTTGCAAATTTATATATATCTCGAAGGAATGGCTTGTAGAGAATAATGTCTGGAAGATGTACACGTTAGCTCTAATGATCTCATGTTTTGTTAGTATTTGTTAGCGGCTGCTGTTGGTTCGTATAAAGTTGTTGGTGTTTGCTTGTTGGAGTTTATTATAAAATTGCTGGAATTTGTTGCTGAGTTGTTTAGGGATTATCTTACTTACTTGTCTGTTGCAGGTGCATCGTGCGATTTTTTTTCACGCCGACATTTTCATCCTTTACACCGACAAATTTTTGTTTGGCCAGGGGCTCTGCCAGTGCTAATTTACATAATAATAATAATAATATTAATAATAAATATTTGTGAATGTCACAAGAAAAGTTAATAATTGCGTTTTGACGTATTCTTAAAACCATAATAAAAAAAATGAAAGTTTTAATTTATAAATTTTTTTGAAAAGTGTATTAAAAATAATTTAACGATCAAACGATAGGTGTTTAAATAATTTAACATAAAGTTAAACAACATAAACAGCTGTAAACATCAGACAAACAATGTGAAACATGACAAGATACACTCATCGATGAAGATGTAGAACTACTAAGAAGCAGTTTAGCGTATGCACACTCATATCGATTGGGCTCATTTACATAAGATATTCTTCAACATCATGTTCAATTTCTTCTCGTGAAATTTCATTCAAACGTACGAGTGTTAACGTGTCTGTGAGCTCTTTGTGCCTTTCAGTTTCTCCCTTCAATTTATACACATGACTAAAATTTTAATTGTTTTTCCAAAGTTAGGAATTTTTTGAAAATGTTTAATAGAATTCACCATAAAACACTCATTTAAAAATAAAAACTTTTATAATTCTCACATCCGTGCAGCGTGGATACAAGAACACGGCTGATAGATAAATATCAAAAAGTGTCCCTCCATAATGAATCTCTATTCCAAACACAGAGCATTAAGGCCAATGCATAAACTAATTCACAAAAAGCAACTGAACGAACAAACGTACGAACGAACGAACAAGCAAACGAATTAATGAACAAGCAAACGAACGAACGAAAGAACGGTCGAATGCACATGCGTTCGAGCAAGAGTTATTATTGCGTGGAGCACTATCATAAAATGGATCGTTAAAGATACGTTGCATTGTGTGTGGAAATTATTGTTTACAGGGTTTTGTCTTGCATCCGACATTGTAGATCACGCGAATCATGGTATTATATTAATGTCATTATTTGTTAGGTCGATCAAATTGGAGTTTTTATGATTCTATACGCACCTTGCATGCTGGTATGCACGTACAAATTTATTTTTCTGTGGGCTGCAGGTAAAACTGTGCCAAATTGTACATAGTTCAATGACCACTGACCAATTGTGACCGATTGGAATACATAAATAAATAAACAAACCAATAAATGAATAAATAAATAAAATTTAAAAAATAGAGTCATATGATTATTAGTCAACCAACAAGCAAAATGAAACTTAGCTTCAAATTACCATCAAGTATTTATTGATAGTTAAAGCTATTTTCATGCACATGAGGAAAACAACCCAAAGTTATAAAATTTTTGATCGATTCCTTATTCTGTTTGGCCGCCCAATCATACATGAAAACTTGTACAGTACAACTCTCATACCAGCATTCAAATTTTATGACACTGCCTTTTCGAAATGCTTTACAAATTTTGCTACAACAAAAAATTTATTAAAAATTTTTAGCTGTTTTTGCGTTGATCAGTTTAGTTCATGTGTTCATGTGTTTTTTACTATCTGCTTAACATTTTTTGTTATTAAGGACATCGTGATAAAATAATAATTTTGACATAAACTTATTTATTTTGATGTCGTAGGAATATTAATGATAGAAAATGGATATGATATTGATATATAACATTTGTTATCTGTATAATATTTGTAGAATGTAAACAAAGTGAATGAAAATTTGACATATCAAAGATGTGAACCAACATTATACTGTTTTGTTGTCAGTTGCGGTTCATGAACGCTCTTCATCATCAATCATGTACGTACTCGTTGTTGTTGTTGTGCCCGTCTCCTGTCTCACTTTTTCGTCCGTTATTAAATTTTTATAACTTCTATGAACATACGATCCCATCAATGTGATTGCTTCGCGCAAAATGTCAAAATGTGGATGGTTTGATCGGCATGGTGTTTTATATCTGTAGCTATTTATATGTTTGCTTCTTTACATACATTTGTGTCTGAATGTTTGTTTGTCTGTCTGTCAGTTGGTCTGTTTGTTTGTCTGTCTGTGTTTGATTCACTGTATTGTACAATTTAATCATTAATATTGAAAATAAGATAAACATGAACAATGCAATAAAAGTTTGAAAAGAAAAACACATAAAGTGGAAGCAGAAATGGTTCAGAGTGATGAAATGGATTCAGTTAAAATTTAAATAATTGTCCATATCAATTTGGGACATCATCATACATACCATTCCATGTACGACACACGACCACGCAAAAATTGATTGCATTTTTAACAAAGAAGAATTACACTGGAAGGATTTTGACCTGTATGGCTTAATTGTTGGAAATGAGGATGAGAAAAATATGAAAAAAAACGTGCGGTTTTATGGAAAATTTCAATAATGATAAAAATTGATGATGATGGAAATGAAATTGTAAAAAAATATTGAAAAAATAATGATGATGGTTAAAAAATGTGATATGATGGATGATGGTCTGGATAGAAAGCAGGACAATTTAATTAAGCTGCAACGATGTCAATTGGTCAACAATCGGATGCCAAGTTACCGGTGAATTTTTTATGATATCCTCATTTCATAATTTCACGTTTGGTTTTTTGTCTGTTTTTCGTTATTTACTTTTTCATTTTCCTTTTTTGATGACTCATTTTTATAGTTTTGAAAAATAAACCTCTCTTTCAACTCCATTTTTAAGTATACATATTATACGTTTACAAAAATGAATAAAAAGGCTCAGCAATACGTATATCCGAAACACGAATATTTCACTGAAAACTTTGCTACATCTGTTTCTATGGCACCACATCCTACCACATATACATACGTTACTGTCGTTTAAATCTTCAATGTCATTACGAGCAATATCTTTCTATGGATAATCTTCTACTGATAATATCAAATTAACTCTCCTACTTAATTAAGAATTGTTAAACATAGACGCATGCATACACACAAATATAGATAGACATAAACCAAGACACACACGTACACACAAATGTATACAATCACATGCATTCGACACACGTTCGTCCCTGTCTCTTCTACATATCTGATCATTTTATTATTATTCATCCATATTGCCTGCCATCTCCTTGAGATATTGTTGTTGCTAGTTTTTTTTGTGTTGTTTTTTTAATGTTGTTGTTATTTAGTAATTTTAATTTATCTTTTAAATATTTTAATTTATTTCAACTATGTTGATGTATTTCCTTTTGGTACAAAAATGCTTGACATGTTTTTAAGCTAATGTTTCATTCAGCGCTGTAACTAGTTTTATTGTTGTCATTTTAGTCAAAATAACGTTGTGGTTGTTGTTGGTCTTGCGTGCAACATCAAACCATGAAGGACAAACAGACAGACAAAAGACAGACAGATAAACCATGATGGACAAGCAGACAGAAAAAAGACAGACAGACAGACAGATACATACAATTTCTTTTTTATATAATGATAATGATCTCAGGCAGCTCTTCCATGCAAAAAAGATAGGGTGCCTATGGGCCGTTTAGATATACCAGTTTTATATTTTCAGTGGTAGCCAAGTAATAATGAAACCAATAAATAGGCATCGAACTCAAATACCGTTGACATTATTAAATAGTGAAACCGACTTGAACCATAGTTAAACCTAGTCAACTCTACATGAATCTAACCAAACCCTAATTAACTCCATCGAAAAATATTGATATATACCTAGTTGAAATTAAACAGATGGAGATAGCGTAAAAGAAAAGAATTGTGTGTTGCGGTCCGCTGGATTTTGGAGGAAAATTTTAATATTTTATGTCGTAGGAGCGTGAGTTGATTGACAAGACATGACATACACATTTGTTTGATTGCTTTGTGGGATCTAACTAACTCAACAACACAGCGTGTTGCCATCTTGTGATACTATATTCTTTTCAATGTTTTGTTTTTGAATAGTTGTAAGGTGCTATTTGTTTTGGTGTGAAGATGATAAATGGGGAAATCTGAAAATACAAAAGTAAGCTGCTAAGAAACAAAGTAGAACTTAAAGTGAGCGTAGTACATCCAATTTGAAGAGCCAGTTTGCAATCAAAATATATTTCCTGCCTCTGGCTTCTTCCACTTTACGACCAGAAAAAACATACGTCATGTGCTTATACACACCACACACACACACACACACACACACACACACACACACACACACACCATACACACATACGCGAGCATTCTTATTTGTAAACAACAAAATTTGTTGTCTAATAAATAATTTTGTAGATTTTTTTAAATGGTTAACATCACACCATACCCACACATGCACGCACGCACACGCACGCACACGCATTCTTATTTTTGTATAAAAAACAAAGCTGTTTATCCAATAAATAATGTTTTTGGATTTTGTTAAAATGGTTTACTTCTTCCTGCTTTAGCTCGGGGCTTTTTTTCAGCATCATATCATTTGAAATAAATGTTTTCCAGTTAAGATTATTTTTGTTTCATGAATAATTTTCAATATTATTACTGACATATTGTTGTTAAACTGAACTAATTGAACTAATATGCTCCAACAATTCAATAATTTAATTTTTTATTGGTGGGAAAAAATGATTTAAAAACAAAAATTTTATCAATTTTTTAAAAACATTTAAATTAAATTTTTTAATTTTCTAAAATTAATTACTAAATTTTCCAATTGTTTAGACATAAATATCTATAAATATTAGCTTAAATGCTCATGAATTCCGTTAATTTTCCAAATAATGTTGCCCAATCGAACACACCACAGTATCAAAATTATTCTCACACCTTAGTGAACGCTGGCCGACATTAGAACATTAATGTCAATGCCATCAATAACATCAACGACATGATTGTTTCATCACACTGTTATCACATCAACATTCTACTACTGCCACCGTCATCCCCTTCAAAATGTTTGCCTTCGTTGTCATTTGCCACTTCTTTGTTGACTCTATGTTTTCATCAAGCCAGTTAGCAGCTCCTGTCATCTTCACAAAATAATTATGGAGTTTGGGAAATATTTATATATATATATATATATATATATATATATATATATATATATATATATATATATATATTTACAATATTCTATAAATTCTACCGAATGTTTGGCGTTAATATGTTTGTAGTTCGTTTTTTCGATTTTTCTCACTAAAGTTTTTTGGTGAACGTTTAGTTTATTAAAATTCAAAATAAACTTATTTTTCGAATTCATGCTGCAAATAAGGCCATATTTCGATTCCGAATGAATCATCGTCAGTGCTCCTTGTTGTTTATATAGGGAAATACTGACTGTCAATCGAACAAGATCGCGAGCAGCGACTGCTCCATCTCTCTCGAGAATTAGAAGTTAAAAAGAAGGTAGTTCAAGAGAATATTGTAAAAATTATGGTCTATTACCAACATATATATATATATATATATATATATATATATATATATATATATATATATATACAGAATTTCTACCGTTAGATAATTTCTTATTACAAGACATTACATTACCAAATGCTTGAAAGATGGATTCTAATAAAAAACTATCCAACACTAGAAATGCTGCAGATTTCATAAATTACTATATTAATTATGGTCTTATACGTGTGTATGTGTAAGTGTGTGTGTATCTGTGTGTACAATGCATGTATGATTATGCCTTAGTTTCTAGGTGAAACCACAAAAACGCAAATATTATTTCAAATATTTACTTAGTCATCATTGAGTAATAACACTTGTATGTTTATATGGTTTTTACGTATAAGTGTCGTTTATATACATAAGATACATTACACCGAAAAAATACCACAAATAAGCCCACACACACACATACACAAACAAACACACACACTCGCATACACAAACACACACACAGAGACACACACACAAGCACCATACAGAGAAGGAAATGACATGACATCCGTGTAACATGGCATCCAACGTTATTGTGATGTGATATGACGTTAAGAGTTCGTTGTAGGTTTTTATAAAATTTAACTTTGTAATGCTATAAAGTATGACGCAACATAACATCATCATAATGTAATGTGTTGTAATGTAATTTGCTGTAATGTGATGTGTTGGGCTGTCTTGTATGACGCAATGGACGATGTAGCAGGCATTAATCTACGTCAGCAATTGTGGAACTTTTTGGCCGGCCCAATGTTATCGTCTGCATGGAAGGAGGTGTGTGTGTGTGTATGTGTGCGTGTGTATGTGTGCGTATGTGTGTATGTGTGTGTGTGTGTGTGTGTGGGATTAATCACGTGATTCTACTTTGTAAATATTATGAAGATTGATTGGTTGTAACTAATGCTCATAGGAAATGAATGATAATACGCCGATGTTTTAGTCCGTCGTCTGTTTTCAAAGTGCACACAAATGTGTATAAGATATATATATATATATATATATATATATATATATATATATATATATATATATATATATATATATATATATATATATATATATATATATATATATATATATATATATATATATATATATATATATATATATATATATATATATATATATATATATATATATATATATATATATATATATATATATATATATATATATATATATATATATATATATATATATATATATATATATATATATATATATATATATATATATATGTATAACAGATATGAGATGTATATATATATATATATATATATATATATATATATATATATATGTATGTATATGTATAACAGATATGAGATGTATATATATATATATTACTGTGTGTGCGTGTGTGTGTGTGTGCATTGCAGTAAGTGTTGATTCAGTTATGTTTGCTAACAATGATAAAACACCAGGCAGCAAGCTACTTGAGATAGAAAATTAAATTTCCTGTTAATGGAGATGATATTATTAAATGTGATAATGGTGATGATGATAATGGTGATGACGATGATGATGATGATGATGATGATGATGACGATGGTGGTGATGATGATGATGGTGGTGACGATGATGAGGATAATGATGATGATGGTGCTGATGATGATGAAGTTAATTGTTGATGTTGTTGATGTTGTTGATTTAAAGACGACGATGATGATAAAAACATGGAAAAACATGATGATACGGGTGATATGAGTGATGTTTACATTATGATAATAAGAACTTTTTATGTTCTAACATTTATCAAACTCATCGTCATCATGTGAACTCATTTGCATTCGCACTTATCATTCAGAGGCTTTTTTTCCATTCTGGACGTTTATTAATTTTTTGAAGCAATTAACAACTTTATGTTTTGCAAGTGTTAAGTTTGGAAAATTTTAAATATCACCTATTCGTTTTGTACAACGTATCTCTTTTGTAAAACATTATTCTTAGATTTATTAGTAAAAATAATAACGATAATAATGCCTTAAAAATAAAAAGATTAATTAATTTGAATATTTTCCGTAAACAAACTTAAACTGATTAACTTGTTCAGAAGAAGACAGATTTTCATAAAGGTTGAATGTAGTCGCAAGCACAGTATTGCACTCATAGTGCTATTTCAACTTATTTGATTAATTCAAATCCAATAAGACTTTTTCATTGATTTATTACATAGAAGATTTTCCCTGCCTGCTTGTTTTATAATTCACTCTCTTTACTACTTGTTGTTCGTATTAAAACAAAACTTGTTGTTCGTATTAAAACTGAGAAAGTTTTTTAATTTTATAAAATAATTCAGCTGATAACATTTCAAAATATTGTTCCGTGAAATGAATCTTGTTTGCTACCAACTGCACGTTATATTTATTTTCTTCTTCTTACACCTGTTAGAGGCAGATTTGCCAAATGACGGTGCTTCAAACGATGGTGAAGTCTTTATTTCAATTGATTTTTTAATTTAAATTTTAATAGAATCTCGATAAAAAAAAATTTAAATGAACATTTTTGAAAATTGAATTATTAAGTAGGAATAGTTTTGAAGGAATATTTCCATAAAGTTATATTTTTTGATTTTTATAAAAATCAAAATGTTTGTTCATCTATTTTCCTTTAATGATAACACATCAACTGAATGCCATTATAAAGTTTCCCGTTTAAACTCTTTGTTAATTGTAGAAAAAATAATCAATTTAAGAGAAAAATGGAATGACGGAGATAAGCAGCGTCAAGTTGGAAGAGGAAGACATGAGAGGAGGAGGAGGAGGAGGAGGAGGAGGAGGAACAGAAGGAACTGGAAAGGGAAAATATACCATGAGAAGAGTGAACCGCAACCAAACAATCATAGAAACTGTGACGACGAATTCAACGGTGAAAGAAAGCAGCATCGTCAGTATCGTCTACAAGAACGACAAACCCGTCAACTGCTCGCAGAAAATCAGTACCAACAACGATGTAACAGTCGACGACGCCGTCAAAGTGTTCTCTAACTCTACAATAGAAAAGCTGAATCATCCCAAGTGATCGATGGCGCTTGATCTGATCTGGAAGGGCATTGGTAGTTGCTGGTTTTATGTAATTTAATAAAATTCAAATTTAAAATTTGAAAATATATATTTAAGAATATAAATTCTTGAATGACGTAGCAAATTTTTAAGGATAAATTAATTTAATATCGTTTGAACACTAGAAAATTATTTGTCATTCAAACTTTTGTTTTTGAAAGTTCACAATTTATATCTGGGATAGAATAATGTCGACCGTTTTACAAATTTAAAACGGTTGCAGGTATGTTTGCTTCATCTAATAAAATTTTTTATAAGTTTTTAAATCGTAAAATATTTAAAATATAACCTACATGAAATGATGATATTTTGTACTCTCAGTCAAAATTAATGTGAATTCTTGTTTTTATTTATTAGTATAACCGATATTGAAACTTCTTAATGTTTCATACAATTAAAGGATGAGTTTATTCACGTAAGTTTTATATTAGTTACTTCTATATTTGTTAATCAGTGACTGCTGTTATTTCAGTCAATCTTTTAACGTTATTAAATTTAAACGTTAACTATTTAAAAGTTGATACCGAAACATTTTTAAATATTACGAATCTTTTTTTCTTTTTGTTAAAATATTTAAAAGTTGAACTGTTTCACTATAAAAGAAAACTTCCATAAAAATTAGCAACTATTTTTCAACACGAAAAATGAAAAAAAGTTAGACCATAAGTCAGCGCACCGGCATGCTTAGCATCTGAACATTCCTAACGATGAATTAATGCCACAAGCCACATGTGTTGCAGCAGCAGTAGCAGCAATGGAAGCCGACTTATGTACTGTTAAACGACGACAGCATGATTTATTAATGCTATAAGATCAGTGCAATGTTAAACGAGTTGGACGGCCAACCGGTAACATCTGGTTCCTACCTCTTGTGTATGCTACATTAGTGTGTGTGCGTGTGTGCGTGCGTGTGTGTGTGTGTGTGTGTGTGTGTGTGTGTGTGTTTGTCTGTGGCTCAATGTCCTGTGCTGGTTTGTGTTATTTTGTTTATGGCGGATGTGTGCGTGAATGTGTGTGTTTGTGTGTGTTTGTGTGTGTATTTAGTTGGTTCAATTCAATGGAAGTATAGCAAAACAGTGTATCTTCAGTTAAAATCGTTCAAAAATATTATAAGACAGCAACCTAAAGTTTTCCAAAAAAAAATTTCGAGTTTTTTGTCAATGAAGTTCCAAAATTTTTATAGGAAGAAATTTGATGGGAAAAAATTTTTTTCAATTCTTTTTTGTAATTTTCATTCGAAATTTTTTTGTTGTTATTTTTATTAAATATTTAAATGGTTTCAAAACAAAATTTTTCCAGTTAATATTTTAGTATGTTTTTCTAATGTTGGTGATCTTCCCGTTGAACGTTGACGGTTTTATCCTGATCGGGGTCGATGAGACACTTGCCTGAGAGGTCACTGAAGTTCGTGCACTCGTCAATGGCACTGTTCGCTACCTACGCAAATTAATTTGTGTCGTCATTGAGAGAGAGAGAGAGAGAGAGAGAGAGAGAGAGAGAGAGAGAGAAAGAGAGAGAGAAAGAGAGGGAGAGAGATTTGAAACATCTAATCATTTAATCATGATCAGTTTGTCCGAATATGTGCAAAAATTTGAAAGTTGCTTTGTTTGAAAACAGAAACGACACGTTGTACTATTATAATATGCTTGGCATACTTGCACACATATATGTATACACTATAAAATGTTACATATGTTACAAACGTATATGTAAATACATAACGGTGAACATGTAATCTGTAGACAACATAGCCATAGCACGAACGTAAGTAATGTATGTGCGTGTGTGAAAGACAACGTGTCGGATGTTAATGTGCGTGTGTGGAAGACAACGTGTCGGATGTTTGGATGTCGTTAAATACATAAATTAAGGCAACCTCGCTGGCAAATTGCAGCTTGACTGACGTGTTAAACTAACGCGGCACTCTCAACAACGAAGAGAAAAAAACCAAAACCAAACTTACAACAATTTTGAAACTTCAACAAATAGAGAACGCCAGCAAACTTTGGAAAAAACAAAAATAAGAGGAAAACTAAAAACGCACAATTTGCAGTGGAGTGTAATTAGGGTGGTGGTGTTTGTAGACCGGATCGTTATCGGCGCGGTTGTACGCGAAGAGGCAGGCATACCTTCTGACGTTACTGTTGTTTGGTCCGCTGGTGTGCAGGACGTTGCTGTGGAAGAAGAGAGCGTCACCTGGAAGTTGTTTTGTAACGTCTCTAAAAATCTTTTCCACTCATGAAAATACAGTGAATTAGAAACAAAAAAAAGTTACACAGTAGCAAAAATCAAAAACAGGTAAGAAAATTTCTTAAGTCTGTAGCAAAACAAATAGCAATCATGGTTTAAAATAGTTTAGTTCACATATTATGTTGAATGGGGACAGCGTGTTGTTAAAATTGAAGAACTTGATCTGCGTATATTAAAAAATGAAAACCCTAATTTTTGTTCAAGATCAATCGATAAATAAGAGACAAAAATTAGTGAACATGAACCGACCAACCAACCAACCAACCGACCGACCGATCAACCGACCGACAGACCGACCGAACAACCAACCAACCGACTGATCAACTGACCGACCGACTGATCAACCGACCGACCGACCGACCGACCGACCGACTGATCAACCGACTGATCAACCGACCGACTGATCAACTAACCGACCAACCAATCAACCAACCGACCGATCGACCGACCAGAATTAAGATTAGCCACAACATGACTCGACTTTTTCTTAATTTGTTCGACTCTTTCCTCATCGGCAGCTGTCTGTCCGTGCACTAGCACGTGGTCAATCCGTCCACACTTGTGCGAGCCCACGATCAACTGCAAGTGGGAATGGTTCGTGAATGAAGGATTATTAATTATATAACACTATCTTTCTTAACTCAACCATGGTTCTCGTCACTTTATTTGAAATTAACAATAAAATCATGTAAAAATAAAAAAAACTGTAGTTGAAATTCAACTTTAATAAAAAAAACGCAAGGAGCAACATCGAAACTATTGAATATTCAACGACAACAACCATGCCTACCTCCAATCCACCATTCAGCTGGTTGCATGGATCCATCGCCACAAAAACTGTCATCATATCCGGTCTCAAGTTGCCATTCTTATACCAATATCTCAAAAATGAATGTGCATTACAAAGTTTAACGCCTTTTTATTTAAACGTAGTGCGTTATAATTTAAGAAAATATTGGGTAAACTTTAAAAATCTTGCAGCAAATTGTACGAAACAAAATTCAATTTGGAAAAAATGTTGCAAGGAGATGCAGGCAGACCCATAATCTTGATGCCAAAGATGCTGCCCACCTGTCCTGGCTTCCTTCATCATGACCTTCGTGTGGTAGTGGTACACCTCACCACCGAGTAACTGGAGGATGGTGGTGGTGGTGGAGGTGGTGGTAGTGGTGGTGGTACATGATTGAGGTCAGGTGACGTGACGGAAACATGAGGATTATGACCTGACATGGAAATTATAAAAAAAAAAAACAATGAAGAAAATATCCGTCGATCCCAACCTTCTCACAACTTCCGGCAAGTTTTTGGGACCTCGCCAGGATGCCTGTGAAGTCGTTTCCAGGTTGATTCCATATCACCAGTCTGCTCGAGCGTCCTCGTCCGTCGGCCAACTGTGTGTAGTAATGGTGGTAGTGGTGTTGGTGGCAACAACTACAACGACGACGACGATGATGTCGACGATAATGAGAATCGTGTCCAATTTGACGACGATGATTAATAAATTAAAAATTCCTAAGTAAAAGTTTGAAAATGAAATGTGTCGACAGTAATAAAATAATAATTAATATAAACTCCAGTAAAAAGTATTCATCATCACGTGACACTGACATCGTACGCCCTTCTTAGCAGGAAGTCATCGTTGCTATGCAAGACTCTCCAGATTTTATCCACATCTCTCGGAGCAAGAAAATTCCTGGAGTTGATGGGTTTTAAATGAACCATTGTGTGTGTATGTGTATTAATTTATGTATTTGTTTATTTATCTATTTATTTATTTTAAGTGAGTGAGTGAGTGAGTGAGTGAGTGAGAGTGAGTGAGTGAGTGAGTGAGTGAGTGAGTGAGTGAGTGAGTGAGTGAGTGAGTGAGTGAGTGAGTGAGTGAGTGAGTGAGTGAGTGAGTGAGTGAGTGAGTGAGTGAGTGAGTGAGTGAGTGAGTGAGTGAGTGAGTGAGTGAGTGAGTGAGTGAGTGAGTGAGTGAGTGAGTGAGTGAGTGAGTGAGTGAGTGAGTGAGTGAGTGAGTGAGTGAGTGAGTGAGTGAGTGAGTGAGTGAGTGAGTGAGTGAGTGAGTGAGTGAGTGAGTGAGTGAGTGAGTGAGTGAGTGAGTGAGGCAGAACGGCAACAATGCATTGTGAGATCATACCCACTCACCTGACAATGAATGCACCATCCTCATCAAATGCACGATGCACGTCGTCTCTTACCAGGAAATCTCCGTTTTCTTCGCATTCAAAATCTGTGCAATCACATATCATCATTAGCATTGGCGTTATTTGTAATGCTTATTTTGTATAATTTATTTACGTGTTTTTTTATCTCTATAGTTCAAGTCTTGTGATCTATTTTTCGATAACCTCCCATTGTCCGATTAGGTTAAAAGTTTGGGTACATGAATATTTCCAATGGTAAGGCATGAATTAATCAATAAAACATAAAATTATGTAAATTAACAAATAAAATAATTGCTTTAAATACTTTGGCAAACACATTTTAAATGTGACTTTATTTATAATTTTGTATTTAAGACAAAAGTACAATTTTACATTCACAAGCAATGTGTTTGAAAAAAACTTTTTTTCAACTTATTTTTCCAATTTAGCAGAGACAAAGCCATGTTAAAAATATACCAACCACAACTACCAACTTTTAGACCTAAGATCTTTCCAGCCTGGTTCCTCAAGGTGCGTTGTATAAAATTTATCTCAAAAAAGATTTAAACAATACGCGTGACTGCTTTGTTTCTGGCAAGGCATTCAGGTTTCATTGATGCGGTCATAATTTTAATTCTATTCATTTACAAGAAACGTGCCCTGGAAGTAAAGTTTGTTTTTCCAGAGATGGCCGCTCTTAATTACTGATCGTACGCACGATGTCATCATTGGCCTCATCGTTACATCATCATTATTCTATCCCCTCAATATCATTTTACGTTTATATTTCATTATTAATCTCCTGAATCAACGTAGTACATGCTAAAACGTCAATACACATTTGTTTTTATAACAGAATTGTATCAGGATGGGCTGCAGGTGCTACCAGTACCGGGCCGGTAGGGGCCGAGATGGGTCACCCCCTCCCCCGTCATATTTTAAAACTTATGCACATTTTCTAAATTTTGTCTATCGTCTATAAAATTTTGGTTCTTTTATTTATCATTATTTATAAAATATGTATTGGGTTGAAGATATAAACGCCATTTTATTTGACATCAGTATGTGTCCACCGCGGCCTATGCAGTGCATCAACATGGGAAACACGTACCAAGTCTCATTTTAATGTCTCTCCAGTCGTTTAAATAAATTCCATTGCCTGTGAAGTTGGCAAACATTTGCAAAGTAATTTCATTGAAGTAAATTTTTCGTTAATGTTTTTATTGCCTTGAAAGTTTAGCTGAAAAATAATGAAAGTACGATTCAATCCTAGTCTCCAGGCTGTTAAACGTTTAATAGTTTTATCCAATGTCGTTTACATTTTTGTTAGAAATTTTCCAAGTTATTCTCTTTTATCATCGTAAAATTACTTTTATCAGTATTTTATTTTGTTACATGATTATTTTTCAACTTAATTTTTTGTCTTTCTTATTTACTGGCAGGCCAAGTGAATCGTTGCATTTCAAACGATTAAGCTTTCACTGGATGCAATGGAAGGAAACTGTTGTGACGACACACTCTGGAATAAACCTTTTGTGAAGTTTAACATTTTAAAGGGCCTATTTGAGTTTACACTTTGATGAAATATCAGTAAATATTAGTAGTCCCACGGTTCAAGGTTAATAACAATTAAAAAATAAGGGATATAATGATGAAATGTTATTTAGTGACACTCTTTCAGTATTTGTGTGCAATTTTAAAAGTGCTTTGAACATGCAATCAATCCAATAAATAGTAGGCTTTTAGAACGTTTCGTTAAATATGAAAAATTTGATCGCTACTGCAATGCGTGCAGCCAGAGGGCAAGTGAAGGCATCAAAGTTCGTTGACTGCATATTAAGTTGATCATGCTAGGAAACTTTAGGAAAATTCAAACGTAATTTGATTTTGAAAGATTTTGAAATAAAATTTTGGCAGCATACAGGTGCGTGCAAGTGAAGATTGAGATCCAGAATTAGATTTTGATTTCAAGGCATTGAAAATTTGCACATGATTTATAACATAAATTTTTTGTTGCTAATTGTGTGTGTGAGAGGAAGTAATTATAGCACAAGTATGCATGCATCATGACCTGCCATTAAAATCAAGTTTACTTTCTTATCAGTTCGAATTATTTTTTATGTTCAATGATACATCCTATGCAATATTTTATTGGTTTATTTTTTAACATCAGAACTCTCTACATCCATTTACGTAATAGTATTTTTATATTTTTGTTAGGTTTACTTCGTTGTTACAAATAAACCCTTTCTTGCCAGACGCTATAGCACTAAACTTATACTCTAAACTTTGAATGATTGAGAATGTTTTTAATATGAATAAAATTACCTTGCAAATTTGTCTTCATAGTTTCTGTCATCTTTCATTCGCTTGCAAACTGTCTAATCATCTTTTAATTACATTTATTATAAAGATTACAAACACCTCATTCAAGAAAGTATGTTTTTTATTTCATATATAAACCTAACTAGCTCATCTTCACGTGATTGAAACAGCTAGAAAGAACACTGCATGCTTATACAACGTATAAACACACATTCTTTTTATAAGTATAGTACATAATTGTTAAACTTTGCTCAGATCAGAGTTATAAATAAACACAGGTATATTATATATATACGTATATAATTATTTTATACAATTTAATTATTGCATATATCGTTTAAGCTGGTTTATTTAGAGAATGTTATCTATCTTGATAACATGTGTGCCAGCAATTGGTTGAGTGGAATGTATGTTGAGTTTGGTTATAAGTCATTGTATTAAAGTTGTATTTGGTTTAATGTGGTTATACCGAAGGGCTGGGTTTTTAGGGCACATTCATGATTGAGTAATAATTGCCTAGTGGCTCTGCCTACATGCTTCAAATCGCAGCAAGCTGGTTGTTTTTAGACAAAAATTTTCCAATAAAAAATTAAAAAAATTTTTTAATATTTCAATAAAATTTTGTATAAAATTTAACGTAGTTCGTTGGCTAAAATGTAGTTTGTGCACATATAACCGTGATTGAATAGATCTTTATTTCAAGTGTTTATTTAAATTATTTGATTATTATTAAGACATTGCCGTGAAGTTCATGAAACCAAACTGCGATTATTATAGGGTCCATAACATAGTTATTAATTCGATCGAAGTTCACATCACAGATTGTTACATTTCTTTTTCAAGTTTTTTAACTTTCTTATAAACTTTTTATGTTCGTAATTAAAATTGATAATTAAATTAATTTATTTAGCGACGTTTCGACGTCAACGCGTCGTTATCAAGGTTATGCTGACGTTATGAAAGCTGGAAAACTTGAAAGCAAGACGCAACAATCTAATAACTTCGATCGAATTCAACAAAATATATTTTTTAAAAATATAACAATTGCCTGTTAGCCTCAAGTCAGATGAAAATGTTACTAAGTTAATTCTAAAACGTTAGAGTCCTGTTTCCTTACCTGTTCCATCACATCATGGGTATGCACAAATATAAACATTATTTTCTCAAATGCTTGAATTGTCCCAACCGATTCAACCGACCAATATTTATTAAGGTATTTTTATTTTAATATCAGGTTTAACACTAGTTAGGGATAAGGGTATATTTTTCGTCAGTAACAATAAATTTAATTTTTAAATTTCGTTATTACAGCTTTGTTATATGTTAGCTTTTTTTCTGCGTAGGTATATTAGCATTAAGTCTGACCAACGCCGAATCTGGTGATAACTTCGGAATGTCAAAGAGTCAAAAAAATTGTTTTTCGTTACATGAAATTATTTATATTTTTCTCATAACTCGTTAATTTTGGTATTGGTTATAGACAACGTTGTGCCGTCCTATTCAAGCCAGTACAAACTTTTATGGCGTTACCCACATAGCCATTTTATTTTAAACAGAGAGCCTTCAAACGGCTATTGAAAATTGGTTGAAGATGATTATAAAATTTCTCAAACAATTTCAGTACTATAGTTCAATCCCTATTCTACAAGTTCATAATGTAAAACTAAATAAGTAGATCTGAAACTCGGGAGGCGATTTTATGTCAAGTAAGAAAAAGACTCTCTTTGCTTTATTTTAACCGCCATCACGATTTCGTCTTAAATTTACCTATTTAATTGATTATAATTGGTCATCGATGAGTTCTTTTCCGATTGTAATTCAAATCATTGATTTGCATAATTATGATAGAAATTAGATCTTTAAATTAAATATTAGAATAATTTCATCAAATTATTTTGATACGTGAACACTTTATAAGTACCTACACGACAACTCGCAACTGCGTGTCGATCAATAAAAAAACAGGTGGTAACACAACAGGCGATCAGCCAGTCAGCCAGCCATTCATTCATCGACGCAACATTGGTTTTAATTTCGCGGATTATTTTTGCTATTAAGTATATAAAATTATAAAATTTGTATATTTCAACAAAATGCAAATTGGAACAGCAGTTGACCTCAGCTGGTATCAAAGTAACGAAGGCAGGGAGTTGATATCTTCGTTGAGACAACCGTTTGGTATATTTTGATTACTCTTTCACTCACAAAAATTTGTTTTATGTTGAAAACCAGAATATATGAATGTTGATAAGCTATTTACTTCATGATATTAAACTCGCCATTCTATAAACCCTTCTAAAAAGGACTGTTGGAAAAACCTTTAGCTTTGCTCATAAACTCGTATGAGGTACTCGAATACAAGCTTTTATTGTATGGAAAGTCGTGCGTCGGCAAAAGCAGATTTCTTTCAAAATTACTCAACGTTCATAGGATTAATGCAAATTATTGCGAAACCCCAGGTAATATTTATAAATTAAATCAAAACATGTAGTATTATTGTTTTCTCATAGCATCGTTTCAACAGGTATCCAAATTTCAACGATTTATTGGCCCGTTAAAATGATTCCCGCTGGCACGATTACGATATTCAAATTAAATTTTTGGGATGTCGGAGATAATTCACTTCTAAGACATGACTATATAGTGGATGTAATATAACGCTGAATTAATAACTAAATTTATCACTCTATAAACATCTACAATGTATTAAACTAACTACTCTTAAAGGTATGCAGAGAAAATTTGGATGGATTGATATTTGTATTCTCATTTACTAACAAAGCTAGCTTTTTAGATGTCGCTTCTAAAGTATCATTAGATGATGGCGTTGCAAACAAATTTGTGGTTGGCTGCAAGTAATAAACGACATTTTGAACGAACTATTTTATAACAATTTAAAATTTATTTGTGTCATTTTATAGAATGGATTGCAATGATGTAGACGTGACGATATCAGATGTCATAGAATTGGAAAAGTCTCGGAATTTGAAAGTTTTTCTCTCGCCAAAGAGTGATTTTACAAATTTTGAAGAAATTTCAGTTATTCTAAATGGAATTTGTTCAAAACTTTTCTTAATAAAAAAAGAATCATTTGCTGAAATTAAAAAAAAATTTAAAATCTGAACTTTTTTCGACAGATTGATGTTTTATTATAAGTGTTAAAAATTGTTCTATAGGTTTCTATAGGTATAGGGACATTGTGTTATATTATGTTATATATATATATATATATATATATATATATATATCACATATATGTTATCTTATATAATGTTATATTCTATATGAATGGTATAGGGATAATGTATTTTTTGTCTAAAGTTAACTAATTTTTTCCGGTTTATGTGAAAAAAGGAATGGCTACATCGGCTACTATATTTCAAATCTTGGTTTAGACATCTGTTATTCAAACAAAATGGCATAGCCGGAAAAAACAAAATAAAAATTAGATAATACTGAAGCCGCCATGTCTCTGTTTATGTTAGAAAAAGAAAGTAATTAAGTATTTTTATGTATCTCCGTCTAGTTCTTTTAACCGTTACAATATTAATATGTCTTCGCTCATCTCTTCTCTCGGGGACATGCGTATAGCACACTGGCAATTATTTATTTGATTGTTTTAATTTAATGATATATAATTCGACAAAATAAATTTAACGTTCGTTACAATGGACAAACTCTTATTTTTTCTGTCTCGGAAGATCCGGAAAGTTTTTCAAAATTAAAATTTTTGTTAGTTATCTCAGCTTGATTTTCTGTAAGTTTGTTATTTTTTTTATTGCTATGAAAATAAGTGGAGAGACTTATTTAACAACATTGTCATTATCTCTTACACATGTACAGCAGTTGGCAATTTAATATTTGGACCATGCTTATTGCTATGAATAAAAAAAGGCAGATACCTGAATGAATTAAATTATAATGCAAAAACACTCTAGCAACAAACCTCTGGTGAAGTTTCAAATTTCACCAAAAAAATTAGTTTTACCATTTAACAAGAATTTAAAAGTTATCACACCCGAAGTACAATCCATTAGAAAAAAGTTGGTATTGTATGAAACAGATTCTGACAGTGATGTATCTCAGAGTGAATCTGATACCAAAAAAGAAAATAGTGAAAAACAAAATGATAAATTGTCAAATAAAATTGAGAATAAAAGCTTCTCCAAAAAGGTAACAAGAAATGAACCTGAAAAATATGACCCATTTTCTGTCGATAAAGCAACTTTTGAAGATAAAGCAGGTGATTCTAAAAAAGAACAAGTTTATCAGTCAAGCAGTAATTCTTCAGCAAGTAAATCATTTTCATCATCTAATAAAATATTTGACAAAAATTTAACACCAAGAACCTCGCAAGAAAATGGTGTACCACCCTCACATTTTGCTTCAAAATCTTTGTATAAATCTGTTTCAAAACCAGAATGCAGGCATTCGACAACACCTGAAAAATTAAAAACATCTTGTAATAATCGAAATACACCAAAAAAAAGTTTCTGTGATCAGGAAATAGAGAGCTTTTCAAAACATGAAAGAAATGAAAAATGGTCCAGAGATGATGAGTTGTTGTGTGAGGATAGAAGATCCATTAAATACAAATCAGATAAGCAGCAGAAGTATAAAGATTTTTACTCTGATACAAAAGTTTCAGATACAAAAGTTTATTCAAAAATGTCTGATTCAAAAAATAATTCCCACTTACCCCATTTAAAATCCAGTAAATCTTCACCTAAAAAATCTGACCATCGTCGTAGCAGACACAAATCCAGGTCTTCATCTCCTTATCGCAAACGTGGTAAGAATAGGGATTCTGAGATTAAATATGATTGCAACAAGCAAACCAGTACTAAAGCATCCTGTTACCAGTATGAAGATGATGATCAAGAGAATAAGGATTACTATAAGGAAAGAGACTACAATAAGTATCCTGCTGATGATGATGATCATTATGAACATAAAAAAAGACACACAAAAGATAATTTAGAACGCCATTACAATTACAAGTCAAAGTTTGATCAAAGGTTGTATGAAAGGGCTGATGGTAATGGTGACAACATTCGAAGGCAATGCTATGATGATTACAATGATGATGTTGAGAGTGATAACAAATATGACTATGAAAGAAAACATTATGATGAGGAAAAATTTAAATTAGATTACTATAAAAAATATGATCGTGAGAAAAGAGATGAATACCAGAACCACCGCAGACATTACAACAAAGATGATGAAAGGTACAATGACCAATACCCGGATGCACATTACCATCAGGTTTACAATGAGAAAAAAGAATACAAATATGAAAAAGTTAACTTTAATAAATCGCCGAACAAACATAGAAACAGATCGAGGTCAGTCTCTACAGGCAGACATTCAGACAACCGCAAGAGTCACCACCATCAACATTCCACGAAAGACCAATCAACAAAAGACCAACCACGTTTTGAAAGGATGGAAAATAAGAGCAAAATTGCAGAATGTTATGAAAGACAGAAATGGAGAGAATTCAGTGAGAAACTAGAAGCTGAATGCCTGCAGGATTCCAGCAAATTCACTTCAAAGTCGAAACACACTTCATCGTCCCACTTTGAAGACAACTGTAAGGCTAATAACTCTGCTAGCAAAAAAGACAAAGGCTACAACGTTGATGATAAATATGATCGAAATATCACTGACAGCAAAAAAATGAATAATTCCAGACATGATAAGAAGTATAATGGTGATGTTGATGCTGACAAAAATAACAACGTCGATGATGATGATGTTCAGTTTATTACATTACTGCCACCTTTGAATGATATACCTTTACCTGGTACAGAAACAACCAGCAGGAAGCAAATCAAACTCAGCAGCAAGACAACCTGCTCTGAGAAAGAAATCGATAATGTGAAATCTAATGGACCACTCGTTAATAGAAATAGTGATTTGCATAATAACAAAACTTCTGATTTAGTTAAAGCTAGAAGAAATGATAAGAATTATAACGATGACGAAGATGATAAAAGCATTGATAACAGCAGCGAAGATGGTCATAGTGGTCATAGACATGAGACAGCTGATTACTCCCGAAACAAAAAGAAAGTTGTTTCCAATGATGGTACTAGTAAAAGGCATATTAGTTGTCTTTCTATGGAAGAGGGAGATCATAAATATGGTAATAAGAAGGAAAATGTTAGCGCATTCTTATCGAAAAATGTTCCCAATAAAATAGTATTTTCCATGAAAGAAAATAAAATGCAAAAGGTGATACCTAATTTCAAGAAAGATGTCTTCAAAGAAGATAGTGATGATAGTGATGATAAAAATGAGGATTTATCTAAGACAGCATCAAAAAAATCTCAACACTCTATGAAGATAGATGAATCCATCTGTCAAAAAAATAATAAATTTATTCAAGTTAGTAGTAACAATAATTGTAATATCACCAAGAGTAATATGAATAACATAAGCACCATTCAACAAAAAACTGATAGAGGAGGTAACCTTAACTTCAGCCAATCAAATGCTCCATTAAAATCCCCATCACTTACTTTAGTTATGCCAGATAAATTCATAAGCATGTCCTCCAATAGGAAAGAAAAGTCAAAACCTAACAATGTTTCTAATGTTAACAATGTGGTTGACATATTTGATGCTATGGAATCTTACAGATTGCCTTCAAAATCATTCTCAGATCACCTGGTTCAATCTGGTTATAGATCTGATTCTGATTATAATGACTTCATCCTCTCTAAAGCATCCACTGCTGTTACTGTTGCTGTTAGTTCAAATGCTAATAACAGCAGTTTGAAATCTACTAAAATGGAAGTGACCAGTTTGAAGCCATTAGTCTTATTTCATAAGCAGCATTCTCATAACATTGTCAGCAATTCTTTTCCTTTCCATCACTGTTCTAATAATGTCACTGCTTCTACTATCAACTCAACCACTGTGACCACTGTTTCCAGTACTGTCGCATCTACAAAACTTGATAATACAACTTCTTTTATGGCTGATGTAGCTGTTACTCCTGCTACTTTTGTTACTCTTAATAATATTAATTTAAAAACATTAAAATCAACAGCGCCTGTTTCAAAGTCATTTGAAACAATGAGCATACCATTACCACAAGCAATAACAACCATCAACACTTATTCTTCTTCACTTACAACCAGTCCATCAGTAGCCAGCATCATTACCATTAACAGCCCAGTAACTAATTCATTGAAACCTAAAAAACCAAGAAGATGTTTTGAAGATGCTCCCCTTGTTATGACATCCATATTTACCTCAACAACATGTTCCACAAATATTAGACCACCATGTCCAATGCTGGTTGCACCTATGATGAATTCTTTATCTACCATGTGTAATATTTCTAGTACTGCTTCTACTCTTGTAAGTGGAAATATATCAAGTACTAAAACTGTTCCAACAACAAAGTTAAGGTCCAATGTTGAAAGCTTTCCTGAAATTGATCAACAGAAATGGGATTGGAAGGATGCAGATAACTTGTTAGAAACTTTATCAGATGAATTTGTTGCTCAGCAAATGGAGAGAACTAGTAAGTCACCTGAAGTTGAAATCTTAGATCATATTGTTAATGATGATGGTGTTGAGGTAATTGATGCTGCACACGGAACTGATGTAGATGCTTCACTTTTGTCTACATCAATTCCTGAAGAAAACATCTATGGCAGTGATGATGACATTAATAAAATCATCAAACCACTACAAACCAAATCAGAGGAAAGCATTGAACAGATTGACTATAACAGTAGTTTTAATGGTGTCAATTGTGATGCTGTTCATTTGAATGAAAGTTCTATTCAAATGACAAAAGAAAATGTCAGTTTGCAAAGTGAAATATCGCTATCAACATCAGTGTCGTCATCACAAGTGTCATCTCATTCATCAGCATCAACATCGTCGTTGGCACATTCACCTTTGCTGTATTCCCTAGCAAAGTCATTGGAGTTAGGCAAATCATTGATGACTTCAAACAATAGTAGCACATCAGTTCCACCACCTACATTGGAATCTAAGGGCAATATTTCCTCACTGAGGTCTTCAGATCCTCATCATTATCCAAATGTCCATTTAAAAAACATCAAATGTGTTTGGAAGGCTGTTTTCTGGGATGCATTTACTAATAAACTGATGCCGGAGATGACGCTTAGAAATATAGAAAATCAAATTTCAGATAATGTTTCAATGGTCGACGTTAATTTAACAGAACAGCACCATCGTCACGAACAACAACAGCTCATAGAGATGTCATCATTAAAAACTTCAACAACATGGACTACATCGGTAACTTCAAGCATTATAACTGAACGGAGGCGAAGTAGTCGTTTGAAAAGTAGAGAAGATAGAAAGAATGAAATGAAACCTCACAGGCATACATCTGATCATTTGTCTCTCAAACCAACTCGCAAACTAGATTTAAATCTCAGTGCTAAGAGCCCACAATGTTTGCCTGAGGAAAGCGTCATGCTTAAAAATAACAACAACAATTCTTGCTTTAATAATGCTTATCTTTCTGAGAATGATAATGTACTGAGCTCAGGATCTGATTCTTCTTCAAAACCTGAAAAAGTGAAATCGAGATGGAGGAGATGGAGTGAGTTGGAATCTGATAAAAAGTCATCATCACATGATCATGATCAACAACAATCTGACAATGATGATGGTAAATTTTGCTCTAGGTTGGACGATGACTTGAGAGAACCGTCAGATGTTGCAAAAGTTGATATTCATGAGGACATGTTGTGTGGTAGAGAAATTGTTGCCACTGACAGTATTGATGAAAACGAAAAGTGTGACGATCTGGCGAACAGGGCTACACTTAATGCTGTGGTCAATCAAGATTCTAGCTGTGATAAGCCTGTTTTGAGTTACGAAAACGAACAGCCAACCCCTTACATCAGCATATTGGAAAATATCTATCTCTCACCAAAGTTTGTGTTCACCTATCTCTTTATTATCTATACTGATCTATATCCATGCATGTATTTATATGTATGTGTGCGTGCACGCATGCACGCACACATTGTGCGGCATGGTTGTGGCAGATGTTATTATTTTTATTATTTTATCAACGTATCTTTTATGAGTTTTTTACCGAAATAAACCAGTCTGATTAATTAACATTGATGAAGCAAGTAATGATTTCAATTTAGAATTAAATCACCGAAACAATAATATCACTGTCGATACAATGCAATCACTGACCACCAGTAAAGACCTGAAGAAGCGTAAGAAGGAATCTCGCAGGATGGTGTGTGACTGTGTACTTCCGTCAGAGGAGGAACTGAGGAGTGGAGCATTTGCCTGCGGGGATGACTGCCTCAATAGGATGCTCATGATTGAATGGTTGAATGATTTTTTTGGCGTTTTTTTGTCCTGTTTGTTTGCTTGTTTATTTGTGTTTCTGTCCATTTGTTAGCTATATCATTTATTGTTTGTTTGCTTATTTGTTCCCATGTTTGCTCATTTGTGTATTTGTTTGTTCATTTGTTTTTTGTTTATTCGTGTGTTTGTTCATTTGTGTGCGCATTTGCTTAATTATTTTTATTGGTATTTATATTAATTAGTTGATGAGGGTTTAATGATTTCCTTATTAAGTGAGTAGAAAAGTAATTAGTGAATAGGTTTAAACAGCGGTTTAGTTAATTGGAATGATAAATTTTTAGGTAATTATATTGTTTGACAATTGCTTGAATGTGTTATGGTTTGCAATTTATTTATGTTTAATTTCATACTGGTTGATTGATAAACAGAAATGGTCAAAATGTGGAAAGAAATGGTCAGTGAAGATGAAAGGGAGGGTATATAAAGCATGTGTGAGAGCAGCGATGGTATATGGTGGTGAAACTTGGGTGTTGAGGAGAGAGGAGGAAAGTGTACTGCAGAGGGCTGAAAGAGCTATGGTGAGGATGATGTGTGGGGTTAAAGCGAAGGATAGAAGGAGTAGTACAGAGCTGATGTCAATGATGGGACTGAATGAGGACGTTGTGACATTGATAAGGAGATCGAGATTGCGGTGGTATGGACATGTGTTGAGAAGGGATGAAATGGTCGGGATTAGGCGAGCGTTGGAGTTCGAGGTTGAAGGAGTGATAGGAAGGGGTCGTCCGCGATTGGGATGGAGAGAGCAGATGGAGAAGGACAGGGTGAAAGCGGGGTTGCGTGATACTGAGGCGAGTGACAGATGTGGATGGCGTCGAGGGGTATTTCGGTTTCATCATAGGTAGCCAAACGGCAACCCCCGATCTCGGGGAAAATGCCGTCTAAACGTGTGTTGTTGTTGTTGTTGATTGATAAACAGGCAACTCATATAAGTAATTTATTAACTGGATGGGCTTTTTTCTTGTGTTTCAATAACGTCAGCAGTGTTTTATATTTTCCTTGTTTGATAGAATTATGTTACTGGGATGGTTGTTTTGTCAACGGTTTTTAAATGTGTATGTAATTTGTTTTTGCTGGTGGAGAATCAATGTTTATACCATTACTAGAATTTTCCATGAATTTTGATCATTCATCTTGTATAAGCTCATAATAATTTTTAAAATGTTTTAAAAAATTTTTTCAGTGGTTCGAGGTGTCCATGTGCAGATTTCTGTACCAACCACCAATTCACTGAGGTGGGTGTCTTCTATTTTTGGTTTCATTTTATAATAAATTCTATTAATCAATATCACAGTTGTAATGAATGTCCATTTGTCTAACAGATGAAGTAATTATTGTTATATTTATTGCTGTGATGATGGATATAAAGTTGTTAGCAACAAGAATTAGGTTGATTTGCATAAAGGAATTTGTTCTAATTGTATTGATTGGGTTATTTATGACGATGTGTGATGGTTATGCAAATGATGAAATAATCTTTTCAACTGCAGAGAAAGTATGCTGCCACTAAGTGCTTTCAAACTGACTGGAAAGGTTGGGGTCTGCAAGCTGACGAAGACATGCCTGTGTAAGAATTATTTTAATCATCAGATGCCATATTCTTTTTCATCCTTTATTAATTTATAATTTTTTAATCTTTAAAGTTATATAATTTTTTTTAGTAGTTACTCACTTCTGTTTAAAATTTTTAAATTTTTCTCAATCTAATTTTTAATCTGAATTTAACTGTTTTTATTTTTTTCATTAAGAGTATTTATTATCAGTACTATCTTGTCATGGGTGTAAACCTTAATGTTTCTGTTGCGTTATCACTCCTTCTTCACCAACAACCCAATCTACGAACGATCGCATCATGAAATATCATCTAGCCTATTTCTAACTAGTTCTGCATCCTTATTCACCACCATCCTACATGCAGAGGCACCTTCATAATGGAGTACGTCGGAGAGGTTCTTGACTACAGAGAGTTCAAGTATCGTGTGAAGAAGTATGACAAAGAGAACATTCCTCACCATTATTTCATGGCCTTGAATGGCGAGGAGGTGATTGATGCTACGAAGATGGGCAACGTATCTCGATTCATCAACCACTGCTGCGATCCTAATGCGGAAACTCAGAAGGTCAGTTAGCTCTAACGGTGTTTGATTTGTGAGGATGATCTCGACTGGGCTACATTTTTGTTAGAGTAGTTGTGCGTTTTGTTAGTTTTGTGGTCATTGCTGCATTATTCATTACATTGTTATGGTTAGCAAACCACCATGATTATTGTAATAATGATTATCTTGACCTCTGCAGTGGACGGTTGGAGGGCAGTTGAGGGTTGGCTTCTTCACCATCAAGCCTGTTAGGAAGGGAGAGGAACTGACGTTTAATTATCAATTTGAAAGTTATGGGTTGGTATTGCTTTCAATAAATTTTTCTTTCTTCACGTAGTGCATACAGATATATGTGCTGTCAAGTTTATAATTCATGATATATTTCAATGTTAATGTTGAAGTCAATCTGTTTACTAAATATATTCGATATACATCCAATTGAATAATTGGAAATTAACATCATTTAACCAGACAAGAGCAGATAAAATGTTACTGCAATGCTTCAAACTGTAGAGGTACTATTGGCAACAACAAGACCATGCCTCTGAGGAGGAAGTCCAAGGGATCCAAATCTCTGAAGAAGAAAAGGAAAGAGGAATTATTCAGTGATATATTTGTTAGTTTATTTTTGGCATTCCAGAATGTGTGTAGGTCTAATTGTAAAATTATAAATATATTTTCACACACTCAAATCTTATGCACATGTGTGTATATTTATACTATAAGATTAAATTACTTTTAATATGGTTTTAAACAGAATTGTATGATTGCTATTATTTCTTGCCATCTTTTTTAAATTTATCACATAAAACAGTTCACATAATTTTATTTTTTTATTTTGCTTCACCTGTTTATCTTTATGATGTCTCTTTTATAGGCCCTTGGTTTTTATGATTTTTGTAAATCTTGTTTTAGTTATCTTCGCTTCTTTTAGCACAATTTAATTTTCAAAGATTGAATTGGAATGCGCTTTTTTTATAATTAAGTTGGCTGTTCAAAGTGTTTCTGTCAAAAAATTTTTTAATCTTAGATTAAAATTAGTTATGTTGGATGGTTATATGGTGGTATTTGGTAATGATAGATGCTGATTTTTTTAATTTTTTGTTGTAATATTTATTGAAATGAATTTTCTACGAAACCTGCAACAAATAGTTGGATTCAGAAATAGAGACAATGTTATGTCGCGGTGGCCTAAGAAGGAAGGATCACGTCCTTGAACTTAACAGGTATGTCTTTATCTGATGTTTTTTTTTCTGTTTCTTATTAGTTTTTGATATCACGTCATTATTTTTCATGGCTGTCTCTTTTTAGATCTCCCGTTCATTTTGTTTTGTTCAATTTTAATCTTAATTTTATTCGATTTGATTTGATAGAAAGGAAATTACAAATTATTAATAATTGTATTTTATTTATTTTCATCTGTTCTTATTGTTTTCTGTATGGTTACATTAATATGGGTAGTAATTAACATTATAAAGACATGTTTTTGATGGATAGTTGATAGGTATGTAATGATAATTATGACGATGATGAATTTGTAGATGGATTGATGGATGATGCATGAAAAAAGAATGAATGAAGAATAAATATCCAAACGTTATTAGTACGTCACATATGTTGTGCTGTTAATTCAGATTGATGTTGAGGGCTGACAATGTAGAACATCGACTATCTCTCCTTAGGATCATAATGGTTCCTTCTTGTTCATTTTTTTTATTTGCAACTTATATCGTATTAATTCGTGTGTTCTCATTTAAAAATTTACTTTCATTCATCATTTTCAAACTGTCATGAAATTATTATGTTCACTGTAGATGAGTGGGTTATTAACATCTTAGAAAGTGATCAGTTCAGAACACATCAGCTGCTTCTCAAAGATTTATTATCTGTTTGAGTGGTTTGGTGTATTTGATAGCCACTTCTATATTTTAGGCGCCAGATATTTTTTGTTTTCTCTTTACTTCGATGAAAATTATTATCACTACTGTTCTTTATTGTCTACTAATCTTGGACCAGATTAGAGTCCAAATCACGTTCCCAGTAAACAGTTTTTCTCAAGGCTTCATTCCATTTTTTCTACTTTGTTCTTTGAAATGCTTTCTCTATTTTCAGGCTCCGCTCAAGTTTATGGCCCGTTTAATTATATTTCAACTTTTCTCAAGATAACATCAACTGTTGTAATGGGTAGATTGTTTTCTGACAGGATACAAAGGAGCAGGCATGTCTTCGTCTGTTCCTCGAGTACCACGGCCTCTCACTACTGTGGAGTTGGATGGTGGATGTGCAGGCCACCGATGGATTATGGCATTTCAAGAAACAGGTGAGTGGGAATGTTGTTGACAATCATTTTCATAGTGATGACTGACAATTATATTGATGGTATTGTTAAGGTTTTTCTGGTAATGACATCTGTGATAGGAACAAAAAATATTTACTAGCAAATTTCATTATCAGTTCTATCTTCATTTTTAACATCTCCTTATAAAATTTCAAATGAAATTGTTAACATTTCACGTAGATCATTGAAACGTTGAAGATCCTTCCTATCAACAACAAGACGATCCTCAAGAACAGCAAAGTTTTGAGTGTAATTGAGAAATGGTCTAAACTGGAGGCCATGAAAAAAACTACCATGAGTGCAGTTACTTCTACTGCTACAACGACTTCTACCACTTCTGACACAGTGGCAACAACAATGACAGCAACCGATATGGCATCAAGTGCTCATGTTATCACCTCAGCGATGTTATCTTCACTATCCAGTACGACAACATCTTCAACAAAAGAGGTAGACATTGATTCAATCAACAACGTTAGTGCATCAACTCTGGATGATGGCTCAAAGTTTTTATTTTCTGCATCAACTGAAGTTGGAGAGAATGATAATGAAAATTCCAGTGGTGACAAATTGGCAGCGTCTACATCACTTTCACCTACAGGAAATTTCGAACAATCATCAAACAATGCCTCTGTGACAACAAATGCAGCAGTCGAAAACGCAACCACAGCATTGCATGAAAACGACTTAGATAGCAACAATGACAACAACAACATTGAAGACAGAGATAAAAATGACTGTAGCATGCTGATGAATGGGACAATTGAAACAAGGTCAGCAGCAACTGAGGAAGATTCACTTTTCATCATCAACACCACTGATCAGAGACGTATCGACATTAACCTATCCCTCCCTGTTGATGAAGGAGCAAGTTTGAATGAAATAAAAAGCAATAGCATAAACATAGTTGATGCTGTTGATAAGGAAGACTTGTTAACTGATGACAGTTGTGTTGAAGAGATTGAGGTTGTGGAGGTTGTTGTGGTCATTCCTTTGGATGATGATGCAGCAATAGTGGTCAACAATGGAGATGATAAAAATAATGATGGTAATGATGTGAATAAGAAAAAAATGGACAACGAAATAGATGATAATAAAAATGATGTTCATGATATCAACCATGCCACAGATGATGGTCAACTAAGTAAGTTGGATGGAAATGACAGGACAACTGTTAGCATCACTTTGGAGAACAATGATGTTGATCAGGATAATGTGGAAAAGATGGAGGAAGATGATTACGATCCTTGCAAATTCAACATTGACTCATCCATGGATGATGATGATTTTGATTACAACAATGAAACTGACAATAATGATGATAACAAAAATGTCAATGATGATGACAGCGTTATCAGCGACCAGAGTAAGTAATATGTTACTTCTAACATATTATCTTAATAGCTCTGTGCTGTATTAAACTGTCATACAATATTTTTCTTGATCTGTTTATGTTAGATAACCACTTTATAATTATTTAAGGATGTTTGCGTTTAGGGCTTCTTTTTATTATTTCTAATATTGTCTGTCTTGTTAGAATGTTCTCTCACTGTTACATATGAAGGTAACAGTTGAATAAACTTTATCAACTCTATCTATTTAATTATTTACTGGTTAAGGTTTTCACATTATTGTCCCATTTTTTATTTTTTTTTATTCAAATAATTTCAACAGCTGATCCTAAATCTGGCAAAGGAACAGCAACGATGGCAGCGAAAATAACAAAATCTCAGAAGCTGAATAAAGATGACAACAATAACAACATGGCTACTGCCGATGATGTGAACAATGTCGTCTGTGCAGATGAGGACGACGATGACGGCAAAATGTGCGTTTGTATCAAAAACATGGCCTCTCAACTACTGAGCAAGTGGAAAGATCTAAAGGTGACGATAATTTTATCACAATGTTATTTTTAATTACGGTGATATTTTTTAATTTTATCCAAGGAGCAGTTTAATGTTTCTAAAGCTTATAAAGCATTTTATAAATTAACAGTTTTTCTTCTGAACGTCTGGATTTTTACTTCAGCTTTCACTCTTTTAATAAAAATAACTTTAGGAAATCTTCAAAATACCGAAAATAAAAGCTGAAGAAAGAAAAAAAACTGAACACGAACTTGGTTGGTTGTGTGATTTATTGATAAGCTGGTTGATTGGTTGATCAAATGTTTATATAGCTTGTTAAACACTGTGCATTTTGTCTTTGTAATTTTACTCCATTATTTAGCTTGAGAGCTGCCAAGCCAGATGACTATTTGAACAAATCTAGTGTAATATTAGCTGATTGATAGATATTATTTCTACCAGATTCTCAGTTTGAAGACACTGCTGAGCACAAAAAGGCTTACAAAGGGTGGGAGATAAAAGGTAGTTTTTGCGGTTCTTTTTTAGTTTCCTTTTATATTTTTTTTCATCCTATTCTCTGTATAAATTTTTAATTTGCTGAATGTGAGTTTTTTCTTCTTTTCAAAGCAATTATTTTTATTTTAAATTTTGATGAACAGCCCTGCCTCAGTTATCGTCACCAACAAACTCCTCATCATCTTCACTGTCGTCATCACTGAAGAGATCAATTGATGATGTTTCACCATCACTTGAACAGTCAACCAAGTTTCTGGTGAAAAAGAGGAAGACTTCAGAAGATTTCTGCAAGTCCCTCTCCTCAGCTGATAAGTTCTGTAAAGTGAGGTGAGTTACAAAGCTGTGCTGTTTTGTTGGTGTTATGTTGTTAACCTATCGTACAATCTCATTAACCATCAGCAACATTTAAACCAATTGCGCAGCTTCTTACTAACCATCCACAAAGCACTCTTACCATGTACTTCAAATTCAAACCAACTACACAACGTTCCATCCAGCAGGCCATTACCACTTGTGAGGTCCTCTGAAAATTTGGCAAAACATGAGAGGCGAATGCTCTTTGAAGCTCAATTCAAAGCAAAAGAATTGCAGAAACAACAGCTGCAACAACAACAACAGCTGCAACAACAACAACAGTTAAATGTTGAAATATCCTCTGTGGATTATCATTCTCAACCTCGTCACCGTCACCATCAAGCAGTTGATCAGGTCTTTGTTTGCACATTTTATTTCATTTCATTTCATTTAATCGATATTTCTGAAAGTTGTGTTTGTAATTTTGTAAATTTTGTTGACATTCACTTTATCTTTGTTTCATTACTTCCCTAACGTGAATAACCATCAATATTTATCCATCCTATTCAGTCCTTTCCTATCACCACCATCGTTCACTACCAAGATGATAACTCTCGAAGTTCCAACAAACATCATCATCGTCAGCAGCAGCAACAGGATCAGCATTATTATGTTGCAACTATTTATTCTGACTCCTCTTCCTCCACGACGGCCACTTTATCTCTTGTGCCTGCGACTGACAACACAAACATCAGTGCTACCATCACCAATGGGTCCAACATGTCTTACAACGATTATTGTAAAAGTAGGCTGGCAATAACTTTTATACTTTTTTTTGCTCTACAGATTTAACTCTAGGATTATTTATTAAAGTTTATAGCAATTCATTATTCCTTTTTATTTTTATTATTGCTCAAGTCTTTTTCTAAATGTTGCATTTTAAACAGTGGCAGACCAGTACAGTTGCAACAAGCAACAGCAGTCGAGCGACATCCTATCATCAACCTATGCAACAAGTTTCAACAATGTCGAGTGCAATAATAACAACAACACACCGTATGATTTGTTTTTGTCTCTACCTCAACAACAGCAGCAACCTCATCAGCTGCATCATCCACACGAACAAGTTGATGGGTCCACAGGGGCATATCAGTACATTGATCAATCAGGCCAGGTTATCATCACAACACCTCAGTTATCTCAGGTTTGTTTTATATTTTATATCATTATTACTGTTGTTGCTTTTATTTATTATTATTCATATTTTATCTTATTGTTGTTGTTACTGTTTTTTAATATTGTTATATTTATGTTAGGATAGTTTTACTATTACTACTGTTGTTACTTTAATTTTATATTTCACGAAATGGATATTATCGTTTCTGCTATGTTAAGTTACTAGTTGATATGACTTTTCATTGCGCTGAAATTTCATGTTTTTTTTTAAATTAAAACTATGCACATATTTTTGTTTTGTTTGATTTATGTATGAAGAACTAAAGAAAAACCGTCACTTTATAGAAGCTTTAGGGTTGCCCATAACGTAGTTGACATTAATTTATTAACTGGCTCTTGTCAGTTTTTTGTCTAATTATAATTTTTGTTCCTAAAAATACAAATAATATATCTTCAACTATTAGGTTTAGATTATTTTAAATACAAAATTTATTTAACTGTTAAATGATGCACAGTTAGTGATGTCGGTTCCTTATGTGATGATGTCTGCTTTCACAAAATTTGTAACAATTTCAGGCATGTTTTGCATAAAGTAGCATCAATGTATCTATCATGTAAACTTAAAACTAGACTGGGAGTAATAATAATATACATCTAATTATGTACACCAACTGGAATGATATTTTAAATATAAATGTAATTATACATGTTTGTTGGTAGTAGTTGTGTTGAATTGTTGTTCTTTGTAGTGAATAATTTTGTTAAAGTGTGTCAGTTTGTATCCATTATTTAATAGTACCTTTGTGATTCTTCCAAGTTTTATTTTTCTGTCTTTGGAACTTGATGAGTTGTTGTACAAGTCAAGTCAAGAGCATTGATTGGACGTATGGTTTGAGTTGATGTGAGGCAAATATGATTTCCTTGGTGGCCATTATAAAAGTTAGCAATTAATATGAATAGCAGAGAATCCATTGTGATTTCATCGGTTGTTTGTACACTTTGTTGTCTGAACTGTTGTGGAATGGCATTTCCGTAGTTTGAATTGAATTTCAAGTGAGGCTTTCAATCGTTTTGCTTTTGGAATATTTAAAAGAGTGTAGCGGCTTCAGACATTTGACTTTGACAAAGTTTAATCCAAACAACAACACTTTTTATTAATTAATTCAGAGATTTTATCTCAGGCTGTTTTTTTGTTGTGATTTGTTGTCCGTGGTGAAAACATTTTTGATTATTTTTTCAATTACCTCAGTCAGGTTTCGTTGTCTCCCTTTTGTCATTTTTCCAAATGTTAATAAGTAGTATTTTCTCAATTACAAGTAGTTGTAGTTTGTTTTGTTGTATCTGACACAACCAGGTTCTGCAGCCACACCCACTGCATCAACAACAACAACAGCAGCAGCAGCAGCATCCACATCCTCTGCAACAACAATCAGCAACATTTACCTCACAGACGCTACTTCAACAACTGCAACAACAACAGTTGTATATATACCCATCAACATCAACTTCTATGGGCTACTATGAGGTAACAATTGTTTCCTAGTTCACTTTTATTTTCGTAACGTCTAGATGCCGTCTTCACTGTTGTCGTTAGTTGGAGTAAATATAAAAGACGCTTCGTTGGATATTATGGAAGGATCTTTTGGTTAGAACGAAATGTATCATACATTAGTGGAGTCTATTAAAATTCAAATAAACGTACCTAAGTTGACAAAAGGATAGATAAAATACAGACACGACAAGATATGCAGATGTTTGAACAGGCGCACTTGTGCATATTTAAAACTTGGTAGATTACACAATTACTCTCTTGAATAATTTTTTTTCAATTTCTCCAAAAATTCAATCATTCCTATTTCATACTTTTTCATTTTACATAACAGGAAAACAGCAACATCATGTCTTCTGTCATCAATCCGGCCATCAACAGCAGCAACATCCGGGTCATTGACCTCCAAGATCCACCCCCACCGCCACCCAGTCCACCGCCCGTCCAACGACGTCTGCCACCCAACTGGAAGTCTACTAAGGATTCAACTGGCAAGATCTACTACTACCATGCCATTACCAGGTTGAGATCTCTTTGTGTTTCTGTGTTTTGTTCTGCCATGTGTCGCTGTGTTGGGCTGTTAACGGGTGTGGTGTTGTTTTGTGGTGCCTGGCTGGTAGTTTTGAGGTGATGAGGGCAGGATAAAAAGGATGATTATTTAACCATTCATCGCCACTGTTTACTTACAATATTATTTTTTAATCTTAGTGTCTCTTCAGTTAATCTATCAATCATAAAAAAAACCAATTCACACACAACCGCACACTCACACACGAACCAGACAAACACAATGGGATCCGCCAACATGGGAATCGACATCGCTCTCCTTCTCAGACCTATCGACATCATCGGTGGCTGGAGATGATAGCATGGATCAGGGAACTCCTGGCCTCATGGATGATATCGACGTTCCGGTTATTTATTTTCTATTTTGTTCTTTTATTTTTTGTAAAAATAATTTGTTTTTTGGAATTTTCCCGTTTCAAATAATTGAGGTATGCTTATTATAAAAATATAAATATAAAAAAATAATTATTCATGTTTTCATGCATAATAATTTTTTATTTTATCGATGTTCTTTAAAAATTTTGACTCTAAATGAATTGTTCAGATCTATTTGATCTGTAACGAATTCCACGTTGATGCTCTTAAAATTTGATTGCTTGTTAGTGCTTGCTATGCAACATAACCAGTTATCTATATCATCATGTTACTAACTGTTGGACTGCCTTATATAAACATCATGTACCCACTTAACAGCATCAACATCGTCATCATCGACATCACCACCAAGAGACGCAGCAGCACACGACCACAACGGCGCCTGCTGATACTTCTTCCTCGGAAGAGGTCGCCAAAAAAATAAAAGATCAATTCAGAACGAAGGTTTGTGTCGATTGCACACACACACATACACACACACACACACACGCACTCACATATGCACAAACACATGCACAGAAAACACTGACACACACATTAGTATCTTTCCTTCGCCCATAACATTTAGTTCATACCAGATATTTGTTGTTTTCATCAGATTGCCAGACACATAGTCAACTACCTGAACTTCTACAAGCGAGCTGATTGTGAACAGGGGAGGATAACAAACACAGAGGATTTCAAATATCTTGCCAGAAAGGTGACATTCATTTTCTGTTTTTGTTGGGAGGTCATTTCTGTGGATTTAATGATAATGTTACAATAAACAAACACTAAATTTTTACTTATCATTTACAACATTCTATTTAAAACTATATATATATATATATATATATATATATATATATATATATATATGTTGGTAATAGACCATAATTTTTACAATATTCTATAAATTCATGCAATATGGCCTTATTTGCAGCATGAATTCGAAAAATAAGTTTATTTTGAATTTTAATAAACTAAACGTTCACCAAAAAACTTTAGTGAGAAAAATCGAAAAAACGAACTACAAACATATTAACGCCAAACATTCGGTAGAATTTATAGAATATTGTAAATATATATATATATATATATATATAT